GATAGCCAAGAGTCAGGTCTACCTACATGGTCAATTTCGTCTATGTCCATTTGAAAACGGCTTAAATATGCTCAAAATACTATGAAAATTTGAGGTGCTGGCCATAATTACCCCAAGTGACTCTATATTCTATGACAGTACACAGATAGATTAAGAATAAATTTTACTTTGTTTATATAGTAGTATGTAGACGATGTGATTTCCATTCAATTACATACTGATTGCTCCTGTTAATCGTGTGACGACACGTTTCATTAGTTTGTTTTCATCTCTCTCATTTTCTATAGTGTATACAACAGTTCACCAAAACAAATCGCAGCGAATATAATCAATGTTTTTTCGTATTCTTTAATTATAAAAGTGAGTTTAATTTTTTTTTCCTTGTCTATGCGCCTTTCGAATAGAAACTTTTTTTCTTCAAACATTTTTAATCATACAGTGTGTCTGTGCAAGTCAAATCCATTAGACACTATGAAAACTAAATATTTTACAGTAGTTGTTAAGTTCATTTTTAATGATTGATGAATCAAGCAAGAGCAAGAGGGCTTTCCACTCTGTCTTTAACAGAGAAAACATAAGAAATACAATGGTAATTATGGAAAAACGTCTATTTTCACAGCAAAAATATAGGGCTGTCGTAATACTTTTGAAATGAAATACGATAGTTCCCGATGAATAAACATTATCACTTTCGTTGTTATAACGAAACATTCCCGTAAACATTGATCTAGATAATAGACGTTTATGGTCTTTCAATTAGCATACCGTATTTCTTTAATGAAAAGAAGATTTTTTATCTTGTTGACATTCTCAGAATTGCTTTAAGAGAAATCAGTTCGAAATACTCAGGTTCGTAGAGTCCTCCTCTGACCAATAAGAAAATTCAGAATGATACAGAATAGAACAGAGATTAAGAAGGGTCAAGATAAGCCTTCATTAAACGCCAGTATCAATGTAAATATTTACGTTGCTTAATGGAAGAAATTTTAATGAAATTCTATTTTATTATGAAAACTTGATTTTGAGGAAGGGAGAAAAGTAAGTCATCGTTACACGACTATGATTATATACCACTGACATACGATTATTTACTTTTCTCCTATGCATGTCAACACTCTTGCCTTATTTCTGACAGGACTCTTTGAAATACATCGCCAGTCTTGCCAGTTCGGGCAAGAGTCTTGTAGCAGTTTTTTGTCAAGAATCATAGGATCCATTATTTCAGACTGGAGTCTTGCATAACTTTTTCTCATGATTTTGGGCAAAGACTCTTGAACCGGTAAACCTATCTTGATTTCGCACACGTTGTGTGACTATATGAGATATGAAAGGTATTGTAACTATTTTCATTCACTTTTTCGAAAGTCATATGGGCCGAAATGAATATCAGATTCGTAATCAACATCGAAAATAACCCATGAAAAAGTACGTTTTGATTAAATCGGGGTGAATCACTTGAAAACGATTCCCTCATGAGCTGTGAGAAAGTTTTAATCAACTTGAAAATGTTTTGTTTATAAGATCCGATTTCTTATTATACTTGTCTAAGATTTTAACAACTAATATTGAGAATCTATGAGGATATCTACTTTAATTTCGTACAACTGAACAAGCTGTGCATTTCTGTGTTAGTATTGAAAACTTTTTTACAGTCCGTTGTTTATTTTGTTGATCAAAGGGTCGTATTTGAAAAAAATTGATTAAGACTCATCAAAATCGACTAGAATCAAGAGTCTTGCAAGAAATACGGCAAGAAGATTGATATGAGCAAAAAACTATTATGAATGATTAATCAAGTAGAAAAATGAGACAATGTAACAACATGAAGCAATATAAACAGTTTCAAAAACAAGTTTATAGAGCCTTTATAATAACCAATTTATCGGAAGTTTTTACAGTCTTTCTAAACACGATTCTTCAACGATGTTAGTTTATACTTTATTCATTCAAGAAAAAGAAATAAGAATAGTCATTTTACACAGATGCGGCCTAGGCCATTATATCAGCGAAAAATGATTATGCGAGGAAAACGATATTCTACTTGTAAAGAATATTTTTTATATATTTTAAATAAGTATAATCATGCACTCAAATAACGACCTTTCATAGTTTACTGCAAGCCGAGGTTTGTGTGTTAGAGTCTGTATTTATTCAAATTGATTTCTTTCAATAATTAAAGTTTTAGAAAACTATGATAACCTACCTCGTTGCCGTTTGTAATCTAAAAAAAAGTCAAAATTGATCTTATTTTTAAAAAAACCTTGACTGGTCATGAATCTCTAAATTTTAAGAAAAAATGAAGTTGTTTTTTATTAATGCACATCTTACGAAGAAAATCTAAAAAAATATTGCAATTGCACAATATATTTTATCGTTGATGAAAGAAAATTTATTTGTATTCTTTATTATTTTAGATTTTTATTTTCAAATACCACATTATCGACCATGGCAACTGAAGGTAATTATCATAATTCATCAATATTTTTTTACTTTTCAATTTTTTACTTTTCAGATAAGTATGAGACAACAAATCAAGTGCCACCAATACCGATGCCTGAAAGTATGTTCATGTCACATTTTGTATACAAATAAAACTATTTATCAATTTCTATACTCTTTCGTTTACTAATCAGATCAAGTACAATATGACATAAATGTACCAGCATTAGATGATGCTAGCAATCAAATGCTTCATGAACTCTATGTTTCTATGCAACCAGTAACGGATACTACAAATAAAAATGAGATAGACAAATCATGCGAGATAAGGTAACAGATAATAACGAAGGTGATTAAAAAGACTTATTATGTCGTTCTCTCTTTTTTTTTATAACTTGTCAAAAAATTTTTTTGCCACGAATAAATATTAATGCTACTAGCGAGAGATGTTTTGTTTTTATTGATGGTGCCAGATGTCAATGCAAATAACAAACTAATTGACTTTATAATCTCATTTTGTCAAATTTTGATAGGTGTTATAGTGGAACGAGAAAATATTTTATGCTGTTGGACGGAACATACGGAATGCTAGCGTATGCTATTACTAACTCTAACGTTCCAAACATGGCTATTCCTTTCTCATACTAATTTGCGTGCTTATTTTAACCATGATTAAAAAAAACAAAATATAAAAATATAACCGAGTTTTATTTCACTCAATTTGTTTCAACAGTAAAGAAAATCAAAACTATACACAACAGAAGAATATTAAATACTAAAACCATTTTCTTTTGCTGGTTGTACAGATTGTTCTGATAACGAAGATGTATGTCTCGATATGGATTGTGATAATGAATGATGATCACCATCTACAGATAAATCAATTTCATTTGTATGATGTTTATTAACGACAACCGGTAATTCATTGAAAAAATCATTCGATGATGCGGATGGTAGAGGATTTAACGAATTTGTACGTTTAATACGACGAGTTTGTTTTTCGTTAGTTAGCGTTTCTTGCTCCTGAGGTAATGGTGATAATTGTAGATCAGATCGCGTTTTGATGGATGATAACGAGCAGCGAGATGCTTTTTTTCTACTATCGAACTTGTCGTCAATAAATGCATTATTATTATGAGCATAAGAAACTGATGAGGATGTCGTAGAGGATGAATCATTAATTGATATGTCATTATTATCAACGATTACATCGTCAAGATTAATTATAGAATTATCACGCTGCTTACTTGCAAAACGAAGAAATACCTAAATATATAACAAATTAGAAGTTGTCAAGAACACACACAGAGATGAAAAAGACAAGTTCTTACATGTTCAAGTGTTGTTTGTGAAAGAGAATAATCAATTACACCCATCAGTTCCTTATTTGATTCAATAAAACCGAATATTTTTGATAATGTATTCGTCTTAGGAATATTATATTCTAATTTTATACCATGATGTTCCTAAATAATAAAATTAATAAAGCATATAGTTGCTCTTGTATATTTTCAGTCGCCTAACCGTTAAATAAAAGATTAGTAAAAATTAAGGTTAACACTTAGTCACTTATAAACAAAATATGTACAGAATACGAAAACATCATTTCTTACTGTCATTATTGAGTCTGGTAAATATTGATTTAATATATTTGAAGCAATCGGAATATAAGATACATCGTTCAATCGTAATTTCAAATAATATCCTGTACCAAATCTATGTTTAAGATGTTGTGGTGAACCTAAATTATCAGAAATATTTTTATTGAACAGACAGCACTTTCGAACGAAATTTTACCACTCAAGCTTGTCGAAATTATTCAACAAGAACAACGAAAAGTCTTACCCAAACATTTAAACTGACCATTAACCATAATTGCTAAGTTTGAGCATAAAATATCGCACTCATTCATCGAATGTGATGTTAACAAAATAGCCTTGTCTTCTTTCTTAGCCGCTATAATATTGTTCCATACTACTCGCCTATTCCCAGGATCTATAATAAAACAAAAATATACAAACATTTCTCTTCTGTTCAATTTAATTTTATTGTATAATCTTACCCATTCCATTTGTTGGTTCATCCTTAAAAGGTAAATAGATACTTATTAGAATTATATATTTATATAAGAAAGAAGGAATACACTTACCAATAAAATCAAGGTTGGTTGACCAAGCATTGCTAATGCCACCGATAATTTTCTTCGCATTCCACCACTATATGTACGTATTGTCTGATTTGCAAAAGTATCCAAATGAAATTTTCTCAATGTTAAATTAACAGTTTGTTCACGATTGATAATGCCAATTAATTTTGCATAACACATTAATGCTTCACGACTTGTTAAATATCCGTCTACAGCATCAAATTGCGGACAATAACCAATACTGCCGGGGTTTTCTCGAGCATAGTCACGAATTTGTTTTTCATGTAAACAACAATCACCACTTGTTGGATAAACGTCTCCTAAAATTCGATGATATATTATGATAAGACTGTTAGATGAACATTCAACACCCAATTTACCGGTTATCATTTTAAACGTTGTCGTTTTTCCTGCTCCATTGATCCCCAGTAGTCCAAAACATTGTCCCGTTTGTATTCCAAAGCACAAATTATCCACAGCTAAAACAGCTTGACCAGTGGCACGTCTAATAACATTAAAAATGGTTAATGACTATATTAGCATAAATGTAAGAAAAAAAAATCTCTTTGAACATACCGATAGAATTTTGTCAAATTTTTAACGCGAAATATGTCGGTAAATGTGTCATCTCGATGTAGTATACGATTTCGTTCGTTTGTTACATCTTTATCTTCAACTGTATCAGCTGGTGGTATCTAAAATACAGATAGTCATAATGCTTAGCAGATCAACGAAAGATAGAAATAGCATGAAAAGTCTTTCAGGTCCTATTTTTAGAACTTATCTAAAATTTTTGGTTGAATTATGCTATATTCAATTTTGCTATTTGCTGTTAGGTAAGTTACGTCTAACAGCAAGTCTCAAGGATAATAGCCATCTAAGTGAAATATTTTCTGATGATTCGTAACTGCAAAAAGATTTGGATACAAGAAAAAAATAATTGCTTTTTACAATTAACTAATTCGTAGAAAAACGTTTCTTCGATTATTCTACTGTCATCTCTCGTTCTCATTGGAAATTACTCGTTTGAATTTCAAAAATTCTAACTATAACTTACTTTATAAATATTTGGCAAGTGTATATCAACATCGAGTAAATAAGTGACCAATAGTGCTACACAACCAACTACTCCCATTGCTAACAAACGATCTCCAATTAATGATAAAGAAAATGGATTGGTATACATGTCTAAATCGAGAGTTAGTGCAAAATCAGCCGCTATTTCATTTTTCATTATATGAACTAAACCAGAGCCAAGACAATACGGCGGTATAATCAAAAAACATCGTGATAATATATTTTGAACTTTGGTTACTCCAGGTGCCCACGCATATAATGTCAACATTAAATCAGCGATACACGTTATTAAACCAGAAAATAACCAAATACAGAAGACAGCCATGAAGGCTGTGCCTGTATCTTTAAATAAACGTACTAAACAATACGTCAGTGGAATTGATGCCCATCCAAATAAAAATAGTAAACAAGCAATAGCACTTGTTGTTAATGATCGTGAATTAAATGCTGATATATTAAATATTTTAATTATAATCATTGTTAAAGCAATTAATAATAAATAATAGAGTAAATCCCAAAGAAAGGCTGATAACCAATAGACTAGAATTAGAAGACAAAAAAAAAAAGATGTAACAAAATAAAGTAAGAAAAAACAAATTATTTTTTAAATAAATACCAAATGGTTTAACACCACACACAAATATTAGACGTTTTTCTTGTGTGACGTTTTCTTTAACAAGATATAAAATGACAGCAGCTGGTACAAATGCATAAGCACAAAGAACCGTTAATGCAACTCCAAAATCAGATATACGTTGTTCTAATGATTGTTGAGATAATAATTCACTATTCAATGTCAACGGATGATTATACATGGATATACCAAATTTAGATACATCCGATATATCCGATAATTTTGAACGTAAAATTAAATTATTCATTACATTTAAATATGCTGGTAATGCATCTAAATAATAAAAACAAATTTTAATAGTTAATAAAAAAACTAAACTGTATGTATAAAAAAAAAATACTTACGATAACCTTTATTACTAAACCATACACGTGCATGACTTGTGTTCGGAAAATCATCTTCAATATTATCACCAAATGTTAAGCCACCATATCTAAAGTAATATAAATAATCATAGACAATAAAACATTGAAGTATTTAATTTAATCAGAGAGTTGCTTATTGACTATCGTATAATTTCCATTCTATTTTACAAATAAAATTTCTACTTACCGAGAATCTGTAAAATATTGATGACTTTTAATAAGATAGTCATCTAATGGAAATTGATCTAAGTCATATAGTACAACAGAGGATTGAGTTTTACGAGTTGGTGGATGACCAAACGAATCTGGTGGACAGATCTAAAATACAAAAAACAACAACAGATAATAAGCAATTTGATTTTAATATATTTAGTAATTGTCTAATTATACCTGTAACATTTTTGAGAAACATTCGGAACATCGTGCATGTAAATTATAATCATTAAAATCAGGTTGTTTGTAAAAATCTGGTTGGCCACGACTACATTTATATACTTCAGTTTGATTATTTTCGTCCATACATGTTGTACCAATATTGGAAAATGTATTATTTCGCAAACGTTCACTAAGACCTTTAGCAATTGGATCATTTTCATTAAACAGTCTAAACAGGCAATGATCCGCATAAACACTATTTTCAAAATACAAAACGTTTTCTTCTCATGTGCTTATATATGTTAAAATATCAGATACTGACTCGTTCAATATTCTATTATTGTATCGAACAGATTGATTTACAGTCTTCTAACGCCTAATTATACAACGTCATAAAAATTTGTCTCAATAGAACTGAGTGCTTCAAACTCAACAATGATCCACAATATGTTCATTGAAATCGAAATTGTAAAATAAATGAATAGAATTGGTTTAAATTGGACATGAATACATTTTTCAAGTCGGGAAAACGCATCTAAATATCCCGACAGTTCTACTGACGAAACTTTAGAAATAGGTCTTTTTACCTAAGAATAGAATAAAAAAACTATTGATTGCAGGTGTTCAGACAAAGCAAACTCATCATCGGATTTTAATGACATTTCAAATTATCAACATTGCTTAATCAATTGATCTATCATCTTACTAAGGAATATTACTGAGTTTAAGTTTTGTGTACAAATTGAACAGTTTTAGTAAATATCTATTCTAGCCTTGTTATATTTTAATTCTATTTGGTGTTGCTGTTACTTATATTTAATCGTCAAAATTCACAAGAAACATACAGTAAAGAAGAGTTACTGAAAAAATAAGTAAAAATACATACATAAGGCGAATGCAACAAAAAAAATAGTGTAACTCCTAACAGTTTAACAGATAGAAATATCTAAATAACACCCAACATAAAATTATAGGACACTCATATTGCAATAATGTGCTGGGATACTCGTAAAAGTGTTCTCGACAAAATGAGAGACTATTTTATCTCTAAACAACGTTTTCTTTTAAGATTTTCTAATAAGAGATAGGATTTTTATTGTTTTTTCATTTTTAAAATTTGTTAAGGATTTATACAGCAAGAACGAAACGTTTTCAATTAGTTGTTTACAGATCAAAAGTCTTGGCTTCCGAATAAGATATTTTCTCTTATAGCGTAGAACAAAAAAAATATCAAAAATTCTCTCTTGTTCAGCCTAACGCCATCATAAAGACTTTGTCCATTTGTCTTAAAATTTTTATCACATAGACTATAGTCTGCAATACTTCCCAAGTATTTTCGATTGAAATGTTTGAATGGTTCTTTCCGGCATGAGCTACCTAACGAAAACTTGAAAAACTCACGAAGCTAATCGTGTTTCCATTTCAACTAAGACATGTCAGAGTGTATTAGAGACTAATATATATATATATAATAAAAATTTCAGTACAAAATGAACGAAATCTCTAAGGATTTCCACAATGAAAAATCTAGTTTTCAAGCAAAAAATTTTATCTAAAAAAGAAGTCCAAGGGATGAATAATAACTGTGTTTACTGTATTTTTCAAGAACAAGCTTCGACAAAAGCCGTACGTCTTCACGGCCTATTGTTACATGAGAAATAAGAGATACCATAGTATCCTCTATTCCATAAATGCAAGATTAAAAGAGAATGCACCAGCGATTGATTTAAAAAAAATGTACTATGTCATGTGAAATCACGAAGATGATAAGAAACTTTGTAAAGTGTGCGTCAGTGGATAAAACAGGAAACTGAAGCTGAGAAACATCAGTGCTTTTGTTCTATAAGATCATCGTTAAACCTTAAACTTTATGTAATTTTCTTTTGACGATAAAGAAAAGTTTTCTGAAAATCCTTTATAAATCTAATATATAGATCGATGTTGAAAAAATATGTTTTTCAGTTCGTCTTTGCCCGTAACGATGTGAGCAACAAGAAAAAAAAGAAGTACATTGGTTCTCTGAACGGAACAGGAATTCTATTTTGTCTTGAATTTTCCTGATAATACAGAAAAATGACATACAAACGTCGTAGTTCTTATTCATATTAAACAAAATCAGAAAAAGAATATTTAAATCTTGGAAAAAGTATGTCTGTTTGCTTGTTTGTTATTCGATTGCAAAAAAAAACAACAAGTACAAATCACAAAAACTTGCTCAATTATTTCTTACAAAAAAAACAAAAAAAAAAACAAAAACACTATATGAAGACAAGGACAAAATTGGACTCGTTTTTTTTTTTCTTTAAAAATAAAGTCGAACGACCCATACCCAAAAAAGAATAGAACAGGTAAACATACTAAACGAATGTTCTTATTGTGGGCGAAGCTCACCGGGAACAACATCTCAAGTGTGTTTAGTATATGAGCAACAATACAGAAGAAAGCATCAAACCGTTTTCACAAGTAGAAAAAATAATTTAGTAGGAAGAGTAGGAATTTTCTATGTGCTGGTTTAACTGTGCGAAATAATTAGCGTTTTTCTTCTGAAATATTTTAATTTTCTACATCCATTTTGTTACTGTCTATTTGACCTCTTGTACGTGCACTTTTTAACTTTCTTGTTGAAGAATTTGTCTCATTTTCATCTGTAATATTTGTACTATCATTATTATTCTGAGCATATGGTTGTTGTTGATAAACAAGTACATATGCTGATTTTGTTACAACATTTTGTTCATCAATATCAGATACACAACTATCATCAAATGTATGCCATTTTTGATCGTGAAAACTTTTTGCATGTGCCGTATAATGACCGCCACCTAAACCTCCCATATGATTTGATACGGCAATTAAATCATATTTAGCATTTTGTTTTTCATTACGATTTAATACAAATTGTGATAAATCTAAATCATGTATTGGACAATCAATAAATAGATCAATTTTATCACGATAATAACGATTATAATTAAATCTTTTTAATTGTACAATTAATACTTTTGGTAATAACCATAGATCAAATTTTTTTGTGGCATTTTTTAATACTTTACATTTTGGACAATACCATTGATCATGATCGGATAATGTTTCTTTTGTTGTAAAATATTTAAAACAATCTAATAGAGATATATTCGATTGTTTTTGTTGTTGACTTCTTGTTGTCATGCCTGATGTGGATGAATTATGACCACCTGAACTCATACGTTCTTTATCTATACGTTTTTGTTCTTCTTTTTCATATTGATCAACAATGGGTCGAGCAACATCACAAACAAGAGTAGTATTTGTTCGTGAAAAATCAAATAAATCATCTAAAACATTAGTTAATAATTTTGTTGTTTGTGTATAATTTTGACTACAGACACAATGTGCTATATAAGGTGGTTTTGTTGTATCAACAATAGATGATGAAGACGAAGATGTATTTAATGGTAAAAAATTTCCTATTACTTGTTGCAATGCTTCTAAAATATTTTTTCCCTGACATTTATGTCTTGGAATATTTAAATAAAATGGGAGACCAAAATTTTGATGCATACTATCCATTGTACGTAGTAAACATGGCATTAATATTGTGTCATTATTTTCTTTTTTTAATGAAACAGGTACTTCATAAAAGACAATTTGATCACGTTCTAATATATTTGATAATAAAGTATCATCCGAATATTGTAAATGAATACGATGATTATAAACTTCTGTTGCTAATATGTGATCACTTTTTGGTACATGATCATCGTTCTCATCCAAAAAATCACTATCATCATTTTCATTCAAATTTTCATCATCACCACCTAGAATATTATCTTCCGTTTGATCACCATCAGATGTTATTGCTGATGGTTTTTTTGGTGTAAATTTTTGTATAAAATCTTTAATTAAATTTGACATTCGTCCACGTTCATTTGTTTTAAGATGATAAAATTTTATTTTACCATTTAATCGTACATATTCAATTTTAAATAAACGTAATTTTTTCTTATTTGGTAATGGTAAACTTAAAAAACAAATTGGATCAAATGTACGTCCTAGTGTTTTACAATCTAAACATTGTACTTGTGATTTTATTTGTCCATGAAATATTTCATTTATTTTTGATTGATTACGTTTTTTATAATATTCCCATTGTTCTTTAGCTAATGTCTCATCATCTTTATTACCATCATCATCTGTTTTTTCAATATAAGGTTTTTGTTTAACTAAATTTAAATCTTCATGTAAACCATCTAATAGAAAACATATAAATTCTTGACTATCTTGTTGTGAATAACCGCTAAATTGTGGTGCATAACGGCTAACGTTTACTTTTAATGTTTTTGGTATATAGTAAGAATTTTTACCAGACCACATATTTTTAATAAGATCAGCATAAGCAGTGGCCACGTCACCCCTCATACCCAAAGGATTGTCTGTGTTGATATGTGGCTTATATTCATCATTCAAGAAATAGGCTGTTAATTCTCTAACATTACCTAAGATAAAAAAGGAGAGAGAGATGTGTACAAACACTTCTTCTTTCCGACAAGAGTGTCTTTTAAAAAAGCGAAAAACCTCAAGTACAACAAGAAAACAAATATCCTACGAAATGGACAATTTGCTTTTGGAACAAACTCCAAGGCACGAGTGAAAATATCGTTCACAAAAGCAAGGATATATCTGATTTCTTCCTTTCAGTAGTAAAGCAATTCCAATAATCAATTTCTCAGTTATGATGACTCTTATCTGCCTTCTCACAGTATTTTTAGAGTTTCTTCTGATAAGTTTCACTATCAAAATAGGAGAAAAGAGAACAAGAAACGTACTAATGCATTGAATCGCACTATTCATAAAACAAGTGTTTCCAAGGTTTGATAAGCCACATTGACCGGGTGGATGCTGACCGGAAGTTGCAGGAGAAACGGACATTATTGCTCTTGATGATGTAAATGATGAAGGAGATTCAATACTAATAGAAGAGTTATTTACAACTGATAAATCATTCAATGTTTTTGATTTGTTAGTATTATTATCACTAAGCAATTCCCAATTGGTACCGTTTATTCCATTGGTAGTTCCCATATATAGACGGTAATTAGAATCAGGTGTAAGTGAAAAATATTTTATCATCTCTTCTTTTAATTTTCCAATGGTTGTTGTACGACTGCGATAAACTTGTTTACTCTGTGAGGATAACTCACCACGACTTTTACACAAACGTAATGATAATGGTCTTATTTCAATTAAAACTGTTTGTTCATTTTCAGATATAGCGTGACGAATGATTTCTTTTCCTTGTTTATCATATTTTGAAACTAATTCAGCATATAATTCATATGAGATGGGATAATAATCGTTTCCTTCTATTGCGTCTGCGCGCAATTGAACACCATCTTCATGAGTAATGGTCGATGGGTCAATTAAACCGGTAAAATCAATCGGACCAAGTGAATCCAATTGTTGTTCGTGTTTTGAAGTCACTGATGAATCAGGCGCAGTTAAACCAACATAACGTTTCCAGTGCTCAAACCATTTTGCATCTACTAATACATATTTATCACCTTTTTGTAATGGTTTTTCAATTTGTTGTTTATATTCTTCACGTTTACGATCAAGATCAGGATTCGACGGCATGTTTTAGACAAATTTGATAATATAAATTTTGACAAATAACAACAATACACATATATTAATAAATAAATAGTTAGATACAAATGAAATGAAATGAAAGTGAAAAGTGAATTAATAATCTAAAACGAGTATACCCATAAATTATACTAAATGAAGAAGAGAATGCAAAAAAAAGAGAACGGAATAAACTATCTTTTAACACTAAGACAGATTTTCTACAAAAATAATTTTTGTAGATATTATTAGTAAAAGAAATAGTTTAGTACACCGTGATATCTAAACAAACAACACGAAAACATCTGAAACGGTCATCACTTATAAAAAACATTCTGTTATGCATCTTGTCAAAAGTGCCAAAAGTCGGTCAAGTAAGCGTTTTAAACCATGTAGTTTCAAGAGAAAAACATGACTTGAAGAAGTTTTCTGGTCGATTAGTTTGCTTCAACAGTTGCAGAATCCAGAGGTTATTCTGGAAGATTTTGGGTATATTTAGTTAAAAAAATTCTCTCAAAACTACTGATGGATTTTCAATATTAACTGTTATGAAAAAAAGATTAACTGAACATCAACAAAAGTCAAAGCAGAATGTCAGCGAAAGCCGCTGATTCATTCAAGGACAAAAAATAAGCTCATTTTACTGATTATGCTTGATAAAAAATATGAATATCCCATTTAGTAGAAGTTTTAACACATTTTCTCGCAATAATTACACCATCACAAAGCAATCAGTGCAGAGGCTTATTCTGAAAAAATTCTCTCAATAAAATTTGAAAACTTAAATCGACCTTTCATCTCTAATAGCAGGTGATCTCGTATAACGTTCATAGTGAAAAGTACTTTTGAGAAAAGATTTCTCCGTTTCAGAATTACTCACAAATCTTAGGTATCAAGACATATCTCTTTAACAATAAAAAAAACTAGAAAGAAAGAAAGAAAGAACCTTTTTTACCAAATATTTACACATATTAATGCTCGAAAAAATTATCGTCCATCTTGCTCCAGATGAAACTATAGCAAACATACAGAGGCGAGCAAAAATCAAATAAAAATAAAAGACACTTTCAAAAGATAGAAATGTTTAGTTGACAGAAACAGTAACGATCCAAATAAAATTTTACAACAACGCATATGTGCATTCATCATTACATTCGTTTATATACTGTCCAGTAAACAGACAGAATTAATAATTGGTAAATAGCAGACTAAATCTATCAACGCGTTTTCCCGATTTTGAATTATCGTAAATTCGATTTCTATATATAATCAGCGCGCTACTATCTATCTTAGAAGATGATATTCCTTGTTTAAACACGTTGTTCAAACATGTCATTCCTGTAAGTGGTATTATAAATGGATAGTGTTTCACTAGTCTGAGGGTGTGTTTTGTAACCACTATATGTGATTGACATGTTTAGATAAGAAAAATCATCGAATAAGATGGAGCAAATAAATCTACAGTGCAGAGTGTGTTTGTTCGATAGTGCATATTTTGAGTTGTTTAATCCATAATAATCGTTAACTTTTTTATTTGTTTCAATGCTGAGGATTTAATTTTTTTCTTTCTTGTATTTGTGTATGTTCGTGATGAATACACGAGCACAAGAAACTAGGTATAACTAATTTCTGTTATTTATTTTTTGAAGTATTACTTATGGTTAACAATCAATCAAGCAAATATATTGGATATGAATACTTTATATTTTAGATAGTTTCTTTTTATTTATTATTTTGCTTTTTAATTATGATTGGCGGTGTATTTATTTACAATCATAAAGGTGAAGTGCTTATATCCCGTGTTTATCGTGATGATATTGGACGTAATGCTGTTGATGCTTTTCGTGTAAATGTTATACATGCTCGTCAACAGATGCGTTTTCCTGTTGTTAACATTGCTCGTACAAATTTTTTTTATACAAAACGTTCCAATATTTGGATGTGTGCTGTTACAAAACAAAATATCAATGCATCTATGGTATTTGAATATTTAAATAAAATGATTGATATAATGCAATCATATTTTGGTAAAATATCAGAAGAAAATATTAAAAATAATTTTGTATTAATCTATGAATTATTAGATGAAATATTAGATTTTGGTTATCCACAAAATAGTGATCCCGGTATATTAAAAACATTTATAACACAACAAGGTATTCGACCGGTAACACGTGAAGAACAAGCAAATGTAACATCGAGTGTCACTGGTCAAATTGGTTGGAGACGAGAAGGTATTAAATATCGTCGAAATGAATTATTTTTAGATGTTATTGAATCGGTTAATTTATTAATGTCACAACAAGGACAAGTATTGAGTGCACATGTAGCTGGTAGAGTGGTAATGAAAAGTTATCTAAGTGGTATGCCCGAATGCAAATTTGGTATTAATGATAAAATTACAGTAGAAAATCGTTTAAAACCTCATTCGGATTCCACTAGTGGTACACCAGGATTATCTGGAAATTCTTCCTCAATGCCGGCAACAAACGGGAATACACAAACACCTTCATCCTCATCAACTTCTGCAACAACAAAAACATCAATTGCTATAGATGATTGTCAATTTCATCAATGTGTTAAATTATCAAAGTTTGAATCAGAACACTCAATATCATTCACGCCACCAGATGGTGAATTTGAATTAATGCGTTATCGAACAACAAAAGATATTAGTTTACCATTTCGAATTATTCCATTAGGTAAATCATAGTCACTAAGAGTTTACCAAATTTAGTTTGATAAGATTAAAGAGAATGAGAGTGATGTAGTCAGTTTAGAAATAATCTGAAGCAAATAGTATCTAGTATCTTCTTTTTTGTTTTGTTTTAGTACGTGAAATTGGTCGTACAAAAATGGAAGTTAAAGTTGTTGTTAAATCAAATTTTAAACCAACATTGATCGGCCAAAAAATTGAAATACGTATTCCTACACCTCCGAACACGTGTGATGTACAACTATTGTGTATGAAGGGTAAAGCCCGACATAAATCATCGGATAATGCTATTATATGGAAAATGAAACGTAAGTTATTCGTTAGTGAACGATTGTTGAACAGTTGTTTTTCTTTTACATAAAAAATTCTTTTTTAAGGTATGGGTGGTATGAAAGAATCACAATTATCAGCTGAAATTGAATTATTACCAAATGATAAAAAGAAATGGAATCGTCCACCAATATCAATGAATTTTGAAGTACCATTTGCACCGAGTGGATTTAAAGTACGATATTTAAAAGTATTTGAACATAAATTAAATTATTCCGATTCAGAAACAATCAAATGGGTTAGATATATCGGAAAAAGTGGATTATATGAAACAAGATGCTAACATTATTAGATTATTAGCCAAAAATTTACACAAGGCTTCAACGTCTGTTAGGGGTCATTCTTATTTTAAAAAAAACTAGCAAAACTAAATTTTATCTGTTTGTTTAAATATCACATTCCACCAATGTTTGAATACGATATTAGAAGATTGAAAAGAAAGCTGTTACCATCATATCTCTACTTGATTTGTTTAAATAAATATTAATACTAATTTACAATTAAATCAAAAGAAACTTTCTATGTACGATTCAAGTAGTGCCTTAGTATGTTCAATTGATCTGAAATGCTTTTTTGCAAAATTATCAAAAAAAAAAGATTTGATGTATTTTTTTTCTTTCTTTCATTTTCTCCTTTTTCGTTACTTATAAGTGCAATGTTTTCTCATGTTTGTATTTTATCTTTCTCCTTACTTTTTTAAGCACATGAAACGTTAGTATATAATGAACAATCAATAAGATTTTTTTGGTTGAAAATATATCATGTCTCTCTCTATTTTTCCTCTCCTTTCGTTGATTTTGATTTTTATAATAAGATAATAATAATGATAATAATAATAATTAGCACGCAGTCGAACGACAGACAAAAATTATTGCATTTTTTTGACCTATGGTACAGATTTTTCTTTAATTGTACACACCTCTTTATATATATCTCAAGCGGCATTCCATTCTGTTCATTTTTATACATCTCATGTTTATGTGCGTGTGCGTGCATAAGTGTTTAGCGATCTCTCTCTCTCTCTCTCTTTCTCCGTTTTCACATTGTTTCTATTTTTTGTTTGTATGCGTGTTTAGTCTAACATATATTGTGTATAAGTATGATTGAAATTTATCTATGTATTCCTATATTCTATATTATAAATTATAAATATTATCGAAGTTAAATATGTTTTTTTACGCTAATTGTCTGCTGTACGGAAGACGCGCACAAGAGACATGAGCGAACTGATGAACAAAAATGAATTGTCATAATTTTTGAAATTAAAGAGACTTTGAGTTTAGTTCGTAGTCAGTATCTGACCGATGTATCTATAGGCACAACGGAAGAAGAAAATATCATATTTTTCAGACTTATTTCTTGTTTTCTAAGTGAATTAAGAATAATATTCACTTACTTGGTGAACATATTCGATGGATCGTACATGGCTGGTGTCATTAATAGTGAACGTTGATAGCTTTGTGATGGTCGAACTAATGTGAATCCCATTGACATAGCAACAAAGATGAGTGGTAAGATAATGTGTGATATAAATACTTTCCAATTACGTTTGGTATGATGAATACGTTTAAGGAATAAAGCTTGAAATTGTTGAAAATATAATTTTTTTCCAACTAATCGTCGAGTGGGTACACATAATTTTGTTAAAGATGCATTTGTTGGTGTTGTTGCAGTAGTAATTGATGAAGATGATTGTTTAGTTGAACCACTACTACCTCCATCACTAATCGATGAAACGCCTACAGAAAATAAATTGAGAAATAATTGAAAAATTTTAAATCTTTCTCAGTATCATATTCGTCTGAGAACTCAAATAGTAACTATATTTCTAGAGATGTTCTATTTTTTTTCAGAACTCGATTCTGCATAGTAGCTGCCAAGCGAGAGATATATGATAGTTGAATTTTGTTTATCTATACCATCGAGAGTACCATTCGAATCAACTCCAAGACCAGAATCATCGCTTTCGGACGATGATAAACCGTGTTCTGTTGATTTATTAACATTTCCATTTTCAAAAAGTTCTTCCATCTTACCACGATCAGCCAATTCGGTTACCCATAAAAAGACCTTTTAGGAAAGGCAAATAAAAGTTCATTATGATTATATTATGTATGGTGATGATTCTACATACTTCTTCCAATGTTGTATCCGATAAACCATAGTTATTGATTAGTAGAAGTTCTTTATTTATTTCTATTTGTTTGAAAAATTGTTGAAATTTTGTCCGTTGATCTAACTGTAAACAGTAAGTTATCTCTGTTCCCATTTGTTCTCGTATAGTGGCATCCGGAATTTCTTGTATGATAAAATCATGTAAATTTTTAAATGGTTTTGGATCTACGACACAGAAAAGTTACTAATAGTTAGTACCATCAGTAGAACGATTAATCGATCATCTCTCGCAGAAGGCAGTGAGCCGTCATAAGATGAGTTTTTGATCAGTCACTCAATTGACTGACAGATATAAGTGTCTGAGCATTATTTTTCTGATTTCTTTTTCCTTACTTGATTCAAAGAGCAAGAGAGACTAAAAAACAATTAGCTTGAGAATATGTAACAACGTTCAACACAATCTTTACGCTAAAATCTATCCATTTATATGTGAGAAGGGTTGATATTTTTATAAAACTCATGTAAACTATTCATACCGACTTCTTTGTTTTTGCTCATTTTTAATTTAAGATCAATTGTTAAACTATAGCCTTTGCCAAAACGTTTTTTTAGAAACATGGGCGATCCAGAACATAAAACTCGACCTGTAAAAGGAAAAAATTGTTGTAATAAATTCATTTTTATTAGATAGATGAAAATAATTCTTGAATACCTTGATGGACAATTGCTATACGATCACTTAACGTATCAGCTTCATCTAAATAATGTGTGGTCAGTAAAATTGTACGCCCCGTACGATGTTTAAAAATCACTTCCCAAATACTTCTTCGAGCACATCTATAAGGAAAAATTTATTATTTCAAATGAAGATTATTTAAGAGATGAATAATAATTACGGATCAACTCCTGATGTTGGCTCATCAAGAATTACAGTTTTACTTCCAGCAACAAAAGCAATCTAAAAATGTTAATATGAAAAATATCTAGATATATGATATATATCTCATTGTCTATTTTCTCTTACCGCTACTGAAACACGTCGTCTAACTCCGCCACTTAGAGAGAGAACCCGTTCATGTTGAAATAACCATAGACCCATGCTAGAGAGTAATCTAATAAACAAGGATTTGTGACCATTTTATTCTTTTTAAACTGAACAAATAACTTACTCGTTAACATCACGGTCTAATTCTTTAGAACTCATATTTCCCTTCAGTTTTCCATAGAAATTTAAATGTTCTCTAACAGTCATAAAATCAAATAATATATCATCTTGTGGGCATAATCCAACATTTTTTCTTATTTGCTCATAGTCTGTTGTTATATCTCGTCCATAAATACTTGCATTACCACTAGTCGGTGCATAAATTCCTGTTAAAACATTGATTGTTGTTGTTTTACCGGCACCATTATGTCCTAGTAATGCTGTTATATGTTCTTCATAAAAATTGATTGATAAATTTTGTATGGCTATTTTATCTTTGCCAAATTGTTTTGTTAGATTTGTTAATGCAATACCTACGGGTAAATGTTCCGGCTCTTTTTCATTATTAGGATCAATTTCTAAAAAATAGTGAACAAAGATGAATAATTATTTGAAGATAAGATTATTCTTACGTTTAATTTTTGCTATATATGGATTTGTTTCACGAGTAATATGAAATGATTTTTTTGCTTTTGCTTTTGCACCACATCGCCATGTTGACGGTAAAAATGGATAATAAAACGGTTTGGGAGTACCATTTTTACCTGTAAAAACATGTCATTATTATTTTATTACTTAATATTATTATTGTCTTGAGATGACGATAGTAAACATTTTTGTTATATCATAAGGATATGACAATTTTTCTCTTCATAAATTATGTATTTTGGTTTAGTATGATTTCTAATTGCTTAAAACTTCTGGTTTACCGAAAAAACAGAACAATGTTGAAAATTATTTGAAGTGAACTTATTGTTGTGTTTGTAGTATGTCTAATTGGATGCAGTACGCTGATCACAAATATGACATTTTTTTTTTCGTTTTTTTGGTTAAAAAGATTTCTACGTTTAGAATAATAAAACTTTACAACAAAAAAATTTACGTGAAAACTGAAAACGAGTTTTTTCTTTTCAAATCGTGTAATTCGATTAGGACAAGATGTTACGCTTTCTATCAATGTAATAAATCTCGAGTAATATTTGAGCCAGTTTCAAATAATGCAGAATGGGTAGAGAGCTCTAGCAAATCAATGAATTTAAAAAGTGTAAATTTTGTGTTTCTCAGTTTTCTCTTTTACAATTTTGTCAAGTACTCACTAATATCACTCACTATTTTTGACTTTTGAGAATATAGTTGTGTGTTCACTATAAATAATAGTTGGAATCAAATACTTACAATAAAAAAATACTCCCAATATCAAAGATTATTTTAGACTAATGGAATATAGGAAAAAAACATTTAACTTTCATTTTTCTTTTTTTTTTTGACAAATGTCTGCCAATTTTTTTATACTCATAAATAGCATTCCTTTAATATTTCTCTTATGACAACAGTTTAGAGAAATACTATAATTTAAAAGAAGTGAATCGTTCTATGCTTACCTGGAAATATTGATCTAATATATTGTCCAATTAATCCGTAGATAAGAGAGTCTACCAACATCATAACACAAGCGATAAAAAAATTCATACTATCATTTGGAATTATTGATTTGAAAATTCCTGACCATTGAAGACCTTCGCCCTGATATTCAAAACGTGTTAAATAGACGGATGAATATCCAAATGCTGTTGCAGCTGATAGACACTAGAAGAAATATTTAATGATATTTTTATTGTTAAATATTTTAATATAAGAGAATTTACGATAAATATTTTTTGTACTAATTGCATTTTTGCTTCTAGAAACATGACTAATATGAACGGTAAATAGGATATAAAATAAACTAATATGCCACATAATGTTGCTAAATTTGCTTTTGTAAAAAATGAACTGACAAGATAACTAGAAAATGAGAAAAAAACCAAACAAATGATTAATAAAGATTTATGTTATATGAATATATAATGAAAATAATTTACCCTAGCATGAGTGCTGATATTGCTAGAATTAAAAGTGTTGTTATAACGATACTTAAATCGGATGCTGGAAATATTCCACCATATTTTAAAACAACTAAACATAAATTTGAGAATATAAATTTATATGTTTTAGTTAATATCATTTAGATGTTGTTGTTTTTTTATACACACCTGCCACAATAATTGAAACAAAAATCATTGGTAATATTGAACTTATTAACCATGAAATAAAATTAACTGAACTACTTAAACCCATTATTTTCATTGTCTAGAAATAGATAAATTAATTTATGTAAAATATTTTTTATTTATTTAAAAATTCAATTTACTCTTTCAACATTTCTTTCTCTTTCACGCATTAAATTTTTAATTGATACTCCCAATGTTGCTATAATTAAAATGAACAAATTTATTAATGTTAAATAATTTCTTTATAAGAAAATATTTTTTTACCTGTCCACATTAGTGTGCCTAATATTGGTAATATAAAATAATTAACATATGCTGATTCTTTTCCTCTAAAATGACAATAATAATTGACAGACAAATTATTTATTAATCGATAAATATATTTCTCAAACTTACTGATCTCCTTTATAACATGGATATGGCATCAATTGCATGTAGACAGTCGGATTCGGTTTTGTTGAAGGATTTTCATCAAAATGAAGATCAATAACGGCTCGTTCAATGAGATCTTGTAATTGTATAAAACCACGTAAATAATGCATTTCACGGAAATATTCGGTTTCTGGACCAGGAACAAATAACCTTAAATAATTTTAAATTAGAGTAAATAAACTAAGTTTGACAAAAAATTGAAGTAGAAGAATATCGTAACATAGATATCGGAAACTAATATAAAAAAATAATTCTGACAATACTTAAACAGTAACTCTATTTTTAACTATTTGAGATACACTTCTCACTTATGCTTAACTTAAGTCATATTTAAAAATTCTTTTGTGGAACAGATTAAGACAAGTCTGACTTTCCATTTCTTCTGAGATGTTATCTTAAATATTTTGCATCATTTTTTTTGTCTTCTTATAATATCCTCGGTTTATGACTTAACATTCTGTGTAAGAGCATTCATATTGATCATGTCGAATGATTATTGATGGTTAATCAATGTTCTATGAGAAATTAGCGGTTTAATCGACATTAACTGCATCAAAGAGTGTTGAAAGTTTATTAAAAAGAAAAAAGAAGTTGATTCTTAAATGATTTTAATCAAAATTTCTGAAGTATCAGACTCTTTTTATGTTCTGAATTAGTTTTTTAGATTTCTACATTCGACATTTTATTGTTTCAGTCAAACTCGAAACTATCATTAAGACTGCCCGTACAGTTGTATTTTTGTCTCTTACCAGCTTCTCAATTGTTCTGTGGTTCGAACACTGTCTACATCCATTCGAATTTTTATATGAATATGTGGTGGAAAATAATTTCCATTTGAACTGTTCAAATTTGAAAATACAATTCCTATACACATAAAAATTATATTATCAATATGTTATCTTTTTATTTTGCCATTTACTCTTGTCATACCAGCTAACACAAGACGATTTCTATGTAATATTTGTGCACGTTCAACAAGTTCGCCTTCTGTTTCGAATGCTTCAAAACGATTTAATTCAAGGCACGGTAAATAATTGGCAAATTGTCTCATCAATGACTCAACATTATGTAGAACATGTTCATTTTTTGAACCACTAAAACTTTCTAACATTGTCATTATTGAATTTAAATCGTATGAATTCATATCAACAATATTTCCAATTAATTCTTGAAATAATTGATTTGATAATACTTTCTGAAATAATGGATATTGTTATGAGAATATAATCATCACACAAAGAAAAATATCTCATACTTTGATATTATTTGTATTTTGAACATTTTCTGATAATAAAGTCAAATTTAACTGTGAATTTACCCATGCTCGAGCAAATTGATGGAGTTTGTCTAACTCTTCAAATGTTTTATTCACCTATAAATGATGTATTACTTACTAATCAACAACAAAAATCATTATGAAATACATACTTTCTCAATAATACGATGAGATACGGCTGTTGCCGGTGCATACAAAATTTTTCCAACTAATAGTGGTTTGAGTAAGGGCCAAATGATATAGCCAAGATCATTACCATTTTGAATTTTACGTTGAATATCCTGACAATCAACTGGATTATCTGAAATTTTTAATCATTTTTGCGTTACATTTTTTCGTTTGCTTACAATAAAATAGATTTTCTGATCTTAAGAGCCATTTTCTAATATAGGCATACAGATGCATCTAACTGATGGAAAATATCTGACTGCAATTTCTTGTAGAAGATGTATATGTGACACATTTACAATGAAAATTTCAACAATGTGCATTATGTCCTTGCACTACAGAGATGAGAATGGTGGCGCTACCGACAGTAGAGAATTTCGTTGTTCTAGAGGCAAATCTTTTCCATATTTTAAAAATAATCTTTTAAACTGGATCTATACTTTGGAGTATGCACTATTTTGTCTCTCTATTTCGATATCTTACTTAATACGAGTTTTGAGCGTTCATTTTTGAGAAAAGACAAATTCTCAGAGAACTCCGAACTCTACTCATTCTTTTCTGGTCGAGTTTTAAGATTTACAAAATTTTCATGTTTTTTTACAAAAACTAAATCATCTGCCTGGTGCTGTCTGATTCTCTTAGAAAATGGCTCTTAAAGCCGAAAGACTACAGATTGCTATTACTAGCGCTTTAATGAGACATGTCATTCAATTAATATCCCATCAACAGTTTTTTTCCACTTACAGAGAAGCGTTTTTTTTTTTCGATTTTTCGCAAAACTTCATCTCAAATTGTATTTTCAACAGAAAAGCTCGATTTTGTATAATATTATGTATAATATTATGCATAATCTTGTGTTTAATATAATGTGCTTTAAGGACAGGGTGCTGTTATAATGCGTTCAATGTCATGACGACAGTTTAAAATACCTGAGAAAAGACTAAGGATTTTGGAAGATGTTAAAACCTACGAATAGACCGTTGGTTTAAAGAAATGATGAGTATTTATGACGTTATGCTTGGACTGGCAAGTATATTATATAAATAACGTCATACCATTATTATTATCATCAGTCTTAGGATTTGTTGAATTCATTGTACCTAATAATCCATTTGCACTACTCTGATCGATTGCTTGACGATTTAAAGATGGTTCACCACGTCTATCCTCTTCAGCACAAAATATATTTTGTATTTGAGAAAATTCATCTATAGAGGAACAAAAACTACATTTTTAATAATAAAATTGTTAAAATATATATTTAGTTTACCAGAATTAATTGCATCACCATGATTTAATTTTTCTACACGTGCTATTAATTGATTAATATTTTTCATTATTGGTTCTACTTGTCTAAATAGATAAACTTCATCACCATCTAAATTCATTAATTCTTTTAAATAACCGCCACCATGTTGTGCAAACTATACAAAAAATAAATAAAATTTTAATAAATGAGAAATGTTTTTGAATAGTTTAAAGAAAATTTCACATTTCTATACCATTTTTAATTTATCTGGTAGTAAAAAATGTTTTACTACGGCTTTAATAACATCATTTCGTCTATCAAACGATATGCTACAAGCAAAATCTGATAAAGTTTTGTAATCAAAATTTTTGTCAAATTTTAAATATGGCCAAGCTTTATGAATTGTATCGTTCAGTAATGATGGATTACAAACAGTTGTTTGAAAATTTGAAAAAATATTAAATACAATCTATAAAGTATAAAAATAATTGATTAGAAGAGATATAGAGTGTTAACGTTGCTTTTTGATCATACAAGTGGATCCTTGAATAATCTTGCACTCTGTAAGAGACGAATGATATTGGGTGGTACTTTATAGTCACGACTCAATTTTGTCATTATCTTTGAAAAACTTTTAAACACTTTTTCCAATGGTACTAAAACAAATGAACATAGATTAGTTTCACCACCAATAGAATATTTCTCTCAAACATACATCCAGAAAAACTATTTTTTAATGTAATAGCAACATCATGAACAATTTTAAGTCCATTAATAATTCCTAAGAATAATAATTGTGTGTCTTCATCGGGTAATGCCCAAAAATATTTTTCAACAAGTTTCGACATACTTTTAAAGAAAAAAAACAACATATACATGCTGATGATTTATAACACAGAAGATGATCTATAGTATACTTGTATTGTAAATATTCAATATTTTCTATTTGAGATGTAAATTCAACAAATTGTTTGTAAATATCAGCTGGTAATCCATTCACATCAAATTTATTTAGCAATTCGGAAAACCATTGTGTTTCTTGATATAAACTATTAAAATCGTTTGTGATAGATGGAATTTCTTCGATTATACGAAGTATATCCAAACCAGCAAAACGCTAAAAATACAGAGATAGATACTCTGGTGATATTGTCTAAAAAGTATATTGTTAAGACGGATATTCAATTCTCTCACTATAAAAAAAAGTAATAGTTTTTGAAAACGCGCACTCATTCAAAAAGATTGATTCGATATAAATCTCTTTGAACTAGTCTCGTTCAAGTTTTAGAAAATTTTTATACAAAATCTGCTGAAGATCTACTAGAGATTCTCAAAACTTGCAACACATAGTTTCTTGTCTAAATAAATCTACTTAAACTTTAAAAAAAGAAGTTCGTTGTGATAAAAGTACATTCTTTAGTATGAAATATGTCGCACATGGCCATCAGATGCATAATGACAAGAGGAAAGAAATTCTACAATTTCCTATAATTAATAGTTATTTTGTTTTGATTGTTTATAAAAACTTTTATTTTACGACCACTCTTTATTATTTCATGTTACGATTTTCTTCAAATATTATCCATATCAGAGATATTCGGGATACTATTGATGAGACATTTTTTTCTGAAATTTTACTAGAGGTGGACAAGTCCGGTGTTTTTTAGTTCGAGTCAGGTCCAAGTCCGATAGAGGCTAAGTCCGAATCAGTTCCAATTCGCTCTTCCCTAAAATATCTTGCCATTTTTGACCGATGCAGTCGTATAAGAAAGTCCGATTGAGACTTTCTCAACTGGCGCCGAAGTGCTGGGCACTAGATGTGCAACTCGACCCGTACTCGACGCAACCTGACCCGAAAGTTGGGTACGGGTACGAAGTTGTCGGGTACGGATAAAGCAGTTACGGGTTCGGGTTACTACAGGCACGGATTTTTTTATTAAAACTGAACGGTTTTAGTGGAAAAATACAAGATTTCAGCTAAAATCCATGAAGTTTTAAAAAACAGTTATATTGAGAATGTAATAATAACTTGTCATCTTCAGCTGAAAACAAAAGTTTTTAGGTGAAAAATAAAAAGGAGAAAATTTCTAGACATACGTCGGGTGCGGGTCGGGTACGGATACCAGTACGAAAACAATACCCATGCACATCTCTACTGGGCACGCATAGTGTGTTTGTGCTAGCGTGCTCAACATCGGGTATAGAAAAGATTTATTGAAAATAAAACTACTATTTGTATCTTCTTCTTTCAAATAACACAAAGTTTTATCAGCAATATCATTGTCACGTATTGTTATAGAAGTTTTTTGTTTTTATAGGCTGACGAGCGTTTAGTGCAAAGAAATGAATCAATTAGCAAAAAAAAAAAGACAGCCGCCTTTGATCATAGCTCATCTTAACTGAAGAGGGTGAAAGTCCAGTCACAACTGTGAAAAAAGATCAGTCCAAGTCTCTTATGCCTTCAGTCCCAGTCCGTGTGAAAAAGCTTATCAGTCCGGACTGGACTTGCTCATCTCTGCATTTTACTTTGAACCTTTCTTTACCAATTTATACAGTTTTTAAACTTGAAAAACTTCGTTTCTAAGAAGTTTTTGATCGTTTTCCTATACATTGAGAAAGAAAGCTGTAAAAGATATTCTGGAACAAAAACACGTCTGTGATCGTGTCTTGGGTTGAGTATTAATAATTTTAGCTAAAACAGATGAAATTTGAGAAGACGTATGACGTGACAGAATGCAAAAAAACGCAATTTTTTAGAACAATCATAGCTATAGACTTGAAATGAAAATAAAAGGATGTTTCGTTTAATAGATGAAGTCTCATCAATCGTTATAGTTTTAGTTTGATAAAATTTCGACGAAAAGTCCAGAAAGAGGAGAGAGAGTCACTCATATACAATTAGAAACACCTGTGAAAATATAATTGTAGCTTAGTGAAAAGTACGTATTTCTGGTCGTTTAAAAACAAAAAACCTATTTTTGTTACATATTTATTTCTATCTCGCCATTTTATATTCGATTCAAACAGCTAACAAGATAATTATGCTACGTGAAAATAAATGAAATATTAACTTGTCAAAATTGGTTATTATTACTGTTTACATGGATCACCACATAAATTGTGATAAAAATTCTTTGTGTTAAATATCAAACGTCTTTTTATTTACAGGATTTTATTTCTCGACGCTCAAATATTCTAAGCTAAACTCAAATTTCTTAAACACAAACGAATCTTAGTTTAAAAGCATATCAAAATCAATAATCACTACACTTTTTTGTTGCTTTAAAAGATTTAAATCAACTGAATATCTGAAACACCAAAACTACAGTGGAAAGAATAATATATTTGGTTCTTGTTCTGAAATTGAGAACTGCAATTCTTTTTGAAATAGTTCGTATATAAGAGTTCATACTCAAGAATCATGGTCCTTAGCTCCAAAATCAATAACCGAATATTCATTATTGACACTTATTCAATTTTAAAACATAATTAAACTTGATAAATTTCATTTCAATATTTATTTGTTTGATTTTTCAAATTTTCTCAATGACTTACTTTCAATTGAATTGTTGTATTATATTGCATCATAAAATCTTTGTATGCTTGAGTGTACACAGGACTTGTTCGACATAATGATAAAACAATATCATTCAATGTTTCATCAAATGATACCAGATAATATTGTAATACTGATACATTACAAAATATTGATGACCAATCTTCGAATGATTTTGAGTGAGATAAACGTGTATTAAAATACCATTTTTCAAGCGATGTCATATTATGTTTTGAATTAATAAATGTTGTAAGATATTTTGAATTATCAATCATATCATTTAATTGAACAAATTTTGGTGCACCGGCTAACATTGGTTGTAATATTTGTAAAAGTGGTTGTACTTGTTTTATAACACTTATTAATTTACCATCATCAAATATAAAACGTAGAAGACCAGGTACTGTTTTTAAACGTTCAAGTGTTTGTAATAGAGTTTGTTGTAAACAATTTAATGTTTCAATTGTTATCGTATTTTGTTGTAATGTTTGTACAAGATTTTGATATAATTGAATATTTTTAATAACATCAATTATTAAACTACAACTAAATGTTGATTTAAAACCATTTTGAATTAATTCACGAATCTAAAATAAATAAAATATTAATATTATTTTGTCATTTTATTTTTAACAATAATATTATTATTATTATTTATTTTTACATACCAAACCGGCTGTATTATTTAATCTTAAAAATGTTGATATAGCTTGATAATCTTTATTTGGATCATTAAAACATTGTATTTTATTTGTAGATGTTATCATTGTAATAAAATTATTTATTATTTCAAGTAAACGTGCTGCACCAAATATATAACTTAGTACTGGATCATCTTTTGGTAAAAATTGTTCAATGGGTATTATACAAAGTGTTTGTAAACTAGTCATAAATAAAATAAAAACAAAAAAAAATTTAATATTTATTAAATGTTATTATTATTATTATTATTATTTACATATCTGGTGATATGCCATTGAACAAAGATAATAGACCAGGTAGATTTGAAACAATTGGTCCACCAACATTTTGATTTTGTCCAAGTAACGATGATAAACCACCTAGTATATTAATTTGCTAAAAATAAATAAAATATTAAAAAAAATGATATGTTGATACAAAGTTCATTTTTATTTAAACATTGTATATCAATACATACTCGTTTTTGTCTTTTTAACCATAGACTATAATCTTCTAAACTTTTTGGTACATCAGTTTTTGAAACGTACACACCTGAAAGACAAAAAAAAAAACTAATAATTGTTCATTATTTTAAAACATACTAAAATATATTACCTGATGGATACCAGTTAACGGGTGAAAGTGCTGACCAATTGACATAGGTGGCAGGCATTCGAGAACTTGTTGCTATTATATTTTTTACCGTTGTTACTAGTGATCGATTTGTTGTAGGTACCAGCTAGAAATGTACATAGTATGACAAAAAAAAGAGTAATACAATGTTATTGTTTGTTTTATTTTTACTTTTACAATTGGTGGCGTTGTTAATATATTATTTAATTGATTAAGATTGTTTACAATATTATCAATTGTTCCTGGTGGTATACCAGCAAATGTTGAAATAATATTATCAATATTAAAAAATGGACTAGCAATAGGTATAAACGTATTTAAAAAATTAAATATGTCGCCTTTTACTAAATTTGGATTAAATGTTTCAATCATTTGTTTTAAAAATGTATACGTTCTATAAACAATAAATAAACATGGTTTCTTTTTTTATTTTTAATTGTTCAACTCTTTTATGATAGACTAAACTTACGCCAATAAATTTAAACCGGATACTTTTGTTTTACTTAATAGTAAACTCACTGCTGATAAACCTTCCATTGCTAAACGTACATCATTTTCTAATGTTCCCATATTTGACATAGTTATAAAAATATTTTTTATGCCTTCTATAGCCAATGGTGAAATAGTCATATCAGAATAATAGAGAAATAACTGAAAATCAAAGGAAAATATTTGAAATTAAATTATGTAACTCTCTCTCTCTCTCTCTCTCTCTTGCTTTGTAAACGAACCTGTTCAAAACGTATACTAATCATTAATAGTCTATAAATTTCTTCGATATTATTTCGTGAACCACAATATGTTTGTACACGAGTTTTCAATACTATTTCTGTCTCACGATCGAGAATGAATAATGACCAAAAACCGGGTTTCGTACAAAATAGATGATAATGATTTGTTGTTGTTAAATTACCAACAATAAATTCAGCTAACTATATAAAAGATAAAATAAAAATGAACGATAATCAAAAAAAAATAAATACTTTATAATTCTCTCTTACGGTGGCATAGTTAATTCGTGATGTATTAATATGAGATTCATCAATTTTTCCTACGGTAAGAAATGTTTGTATAATCATGTTGAATGTTCGATTATTGAATAATGGTTGAAAGAACGGTGTGGAAGAAAATAATTGTTCGGTTGTCAATGATTGACCTAATGATAAAAAAATTTAAAAATGAATTTTCAGAAAAACATCCACTATATATTCCTTCCTCTTAAACAGTGGACAATCATACGGATATTTAACAAAAAGTTCACGGTAAGATGATTTTTCTAGAACTAAAATTGTGAGATGTTCAACTTCATTATTAAGACTATCTATCGTCGTGATATATTTTGGTTCAATCAATGATTTATAGTGAAAACAAATGTTAAATTAAAAATTTCTATGGAAATGGGAGCACATTTTTCTCGAGTAGGTTTTTCAGTTAATTATTGAATTTGTAATCTAAAAATGAATTTTATTTTGAATTGAGCAAAAAAAATGTTTTTTCGTAAGACTCGTTTCTAGTAAAGTCATCGTACTCACAAGGAAACCTCCCCATATGTAACACGCCGTTTCTAATGATTTATGTGCCGATCGATAGAGAATAATGAACTAGTAAAAGCCCTAAAAGAATCTGGGCTCACGGTACTCCTTTCAAAGTTATGAACTTTTGTTTGTTTGCCTGTTCAAGGAAACCTAATAATACTAAAAATTCCATAACTAGTTAAAACAGCGAATTACGAGCTGAATTTTTTTTTCCCATCACTGTGCTAGATATCTATTAACAACACAGGAAGTTTCAGTCTTCTAATTTCTAGTACTTACTAAGTTATTGAATTCTTTCTACTTAAGGATAGCCCATGTGTTTTTCAAAGAGACAAAGGCGGTAAGAAATAAAGGAATGTGATTTTTATGGAAACAGAATATAAATGACACTGAACTTTGATAGACGTTTATGTTCGTAGCCGTCGTTTGCACAAGAGACTCTTTTAGATTTCCTTTTGGGACAGTCCAGATTTGTGGTGAGAGTTGTCTCCCTTCAGTCGTGCAGAGGCCTCAATCGAGGAATAGTTTTTTAATGTTTTTTAAAGAGAAACTTTCTGTATTTTTTCGATCTTAACAGCATCTTCAATCAAAAACCATTGTATATTTGGAATTAGTTTTACAAACTCCATTGAACGATGTATAATGCAAGAAAGACTTTTTTAGAGTAAAAAGAAACCACACTTTAAAAAGACTTGTGCAGGATAGAACATTTTCTTTGTATGTACCTAATTCTGGAATCCTTCAACGAATGTAAGGGACATACTATACACAATGAAACAATTCTATCATGTATCTGCTGTTCTTGTTTTTTTAGAGAGTACACAAACGTTTCTTTGAGTCAATTTTGATCGAAAAGAACAAGTTTTATTTCTCTCATAGCCATTTTCCTTTCGTTATAGCAAACATTTTGAAGTAGGAAGAGTGAAACTGAATATAAACTAATCGTTCTTAACAAGAAATCTCATAATCTGTCTAATATTGTCCATTGGACTCTTTTCCTAATTGAGAATAATTTAGGAGCAAAAGAGTAAGTCTCAAATCAAGTCATTTTTTCTTTATTTTGTACGTACTCATATTATCATATCGTTGTAAAATATCGATCACCAAATGAGTTATTTCATACAATTGATGTATAATTTTTTCACCACTAACAACATATAAATCTCCCAATATTTGTGATGCCCTATAGTAATAAATAAAGCCAACAGATATTTATCAACATCAAAATATTTATTTGAAATTTTTCATTAACGTACAATATTAACATATCTTTATGATTTTGCATTAATTCAATAATACGAATTAATTTTGGAATAATTGTAATTATTTCATTCATATTTGGCATATTTTTAAATAATTTTGCATAAAGTGTTAATTGATCAACATTGTTAAACAGTGGCATTAATTGATCAATTTTACTTTGAATTTCTTCACCGGTAAATATACGAGAAATATTTTGAAACTAAAAGAAAACAAAAAAATAATAAAGAACAAAATTTTTGAACTTTATTTGTGTTATTATATGTCTGTTATAATTTTTCATTATACTTACATAATTGATGACTGTTTCATTATCAATTTCCGATAGAAAATAATCCATATCCATTAGTAAATCTTTTAATTCTAAACTGCATAAAACTTGAATAACATCTGTTGAATTATTAATACCATCAATAGTTAAAAAATTAATTAATAATTGTTGACTACAAACAGGTTCAAAATCAACAGTATCATTGAATGTTTTGTAAATCTATAAAAATATGAATATAAAATTTTAATTTTTTCTATTAAAATTATTCATTTTTATAATATATAAAAATAAAAAAAAGAGGAGAAAAATAAAATTTTTATACTTGAACAAAATCAAATGAGGCATTTAATAGACCGGTGATAATGTGTGGTGGCATTCCTGTTGCTAATAAACTTTTTTCAAATATATTAGTATTTGTAAATAAATCACGAACAAAAAATTGACCATCTATATAATAAAAAGAATAAAACAAACGATTTTTCTCATAAAAGATAAGAAAAGACAATATATTTACCAATTAATTTTTGTAGAAATGTATCATTCAATGCATTATTAATATGACTCAATGCTTCTGTTGCACGAGGAATATTTTCTAAATTTTCCATTAAATGTGGTGTTCTCGCTAATATTTGAAAATTATCGTACACAGGTGTAATACTTTTAAATAATAGAAAAAAAAATTATATTATAATTTTTATATAGTTATTTTTAAAAATATATGAACATACTCATCTTTTAATGATGCTGAATTCATATCAAATGCTTTTAATCGACATGAAACATTTGTATTGCATAAAAAACTTTTAAGAAATGATATTGTTCCACTATTAGGCAATGGCATCGGATTATAATGACCTATAAATATTAAAAATATTTATAAATTAATTAGAAAATTAAATTTTAAATTTTATTATATATACAAGCGGGTCGATTTTCTACTGGTGATGTTCTTCTTATGATAGCAACGATAGAAAATAAAAGTAATGGCCATACAAGTTCAAATAAAAATAATATCTAAAGAGAAAAATGAGAATCTCATGTATATTTCTTATTATTTAATTTAAAAATATATTGTACCGGTTGTCGTCGACGTAAAAGAAAATTTTTATACAATAATATTCGAAATTGTTCAAATGCCATTATCTATTCAGATATATTAAAAAGAAAGGAAAAAACGAATATATATAAATATATTAAATTTATTATCATTAATATGAACAGTTTTAATTCAATATGGTTGAATGACTTACCTATACCAAATTTTTTCAAATGATTATTGTTATTTTTAGATGATGATAAGAGAAAGAGAGAGAAGACACATAGGTTTTCTCTAAAATAGAATATTCAAAAAAAAAATTTGTTAATAATGAACAATAGAATGAAAAAAGCTGATGAATTGTATTTTTATAATAGAGATGTCTCGACAATTCGATATGTAATAATTGTCTATACAAGATTATCAATAGAATGTCTCTCGTTTTTTTTTTTTCTTTTTTTGTTGTTTTCTTTTATATGGAATACAAAAAAATTGAACTAGTAATCAAGCAAGAGATATATACATTCATTCATTCATTCATTCATTTATTCATTGTTTCAGAATCGGCCAATTTGATGAGTTTCTATGTGTTTTAGCACGTGTCCTAATCTTTAAATAAATAAAATTGAACATTTACAATTTTCGAGGTCATTATATACAGACGACGATATATAGAAGTTTAAATTAATCAAAACATGAAAATCATCTTTTTTCGATTAATATTTATGAGTCAATAAACTGATTTAAAGGAAAAAATAGAGAGAATCCGATGATGATTATGTTCAATGTTAAATTAATCACTCTCAAATGATTAAAGTCTAGAGAGAAGAAAAAATAATCATTAAAATTCTGAGACTAATAGATTTAGATATTGGTTCTTGTAATAAAAAGAAATAATGTTACTCTCTTTTATACTGTCTTTAATCAATTAAGCTGTTTATTTTTTACAGGTAGTAAAACTTACCTGAATAAACCATCCGTATTAACTTTTATTCTTTATAAAATGCAAACGTTTTTGAAATATATTTCATAGAAATAAAAATAAATCAATTTTCAGTATCTCTCTTCTCTCTCGTTTATTCTCATTTTTCTATGCAAAAACAATGACACATCGTACATATACTCAAAAAATTCAAATCCTCATGTATGTTTTTACTGATCCCACTTGAAATATTCTTTTGCTTTTTTTTTTTATTTTTTATTTTTAATTTCTAAGTTTAAAAGTACATAAATATCTACGTAACGCACGTCATCAATTTAAATACAGTTCCTTAAAACTTGCTCTTCTTTCTCTCTTTCTCTCTCTTTAGTCTTTGATCAATCATATATTATGGTTATTATATAGATATATATTACATGCACGTCGTAATACGATCATCACTCGTATCATGTTTCATAATAAGCTCCTGTTTCACTAATAAGCTCCTGTTTTCGGGTAGTCTATTGTTCTTCTTGTTGAATAAAAATAAAATTTTGTGCTATTCATCCGCGCGTCAATATCGTAGCTTCTGACATAATTTAAAACGAAAAATCTTTTTATTTTATTTTGTTCTTCTAGTAAAAATGACTGGTCGCTTTGTCAAATCATCTCTTCTAGTTATATCTTAGCACGATCATATTTTTATCTGATTGAAATTGAAAAAGAAAAAAAAAAATTGAAGAATGAAACTGTACATTATTGTACAAATGTGTGTGTGTACTGTATATTTTAGGTACACTGTTCTATCTGTAAACGGAAGGAAATAGATGATTATAGATTTTTTTTTTTTTTTTTGTTGTAGAGACCAAATCAATAACAAATATTTGTATTTGATATTCTAATTTAAAAGAAAATGAAATTTGTCATTTGGCAGAGGTGGTAAAGTAGGAGGAAGACGAACCAACCATTCATTAAGATAACTCACTATTTTAAAACAAATGCAGCTAATTTTTCAAGTGTTTGTAAAATAGAAGTTACTTGTTTGCTCTCGTAAGGAGTATATACTTAAATTTGTAATATCTATGGTAAAACTATGGTAGACAGATAAACTACCATAAACGATTACTCTTCATAAATAATATCTAATGGAAAACCTTAAACTCTAAATTCTTATAGCTTCTTTACTCTTATATATGCAGTATTTATAATCATAATGTTCTAATAAACAGAGAAGATATTTCTTCTTTTAAAACAGATCATATACGATAATATGGAGTGAAATGTAAATGAGAAAAAGAATGATCAAAACTGTATTTAATCTTATATAATCGTATCAATAGAATAATAATAAAAGAAGATTTAAAAAGAGTATATTGAACAATAAAAGCAATTTAAGACACTAAAAAACAGAACTGACACGAAATATGCGTGTAACTAAACCATTATGTTCTTTAGAATAAAAAGAGAATTACTATAATAAACAAGACAATTTTAGACAGTATACGTAAAATAGAAGAAAAAGACTATTTATCGTAAAAATTTGACCACTATTGCATGATCAAAGATCAGAGAATAACAGCTTCATGCGTATTTTTAAAATTATAATAGTCACAAATAATCGCAAATAAACTTCCCTAACATGTTCATCCCTATTGTTTTGATGCGATAATACATCTTTCGATAGAGGACATCTTCTAACAATGGTATTACAGCGATCAACTAGTGACATCGTTTTATACTGAACAGAGTAAACTTTTTCTGGTTAGGTACTATTGTCTAGGTTACGCACTATCTTATGATTATCATAAATACATTTGAGATCATTTTTAAGACCTTTATACCACCAACAAAAAAATAAAGTTCATTTAGAGTACCGGAAAAGTGCTTTTTTGTATCAAACACACTCGATAATCCAGACGATGTTCTCTTATGTTGGCGAGAAGAACTGCCAAATGTTTAAGAAAAATTTTCAAACAACATGACGAAAATTAAGTTTCCATGGGAAAATAATATTAGTTTTAAAATTTTTCTTAAACATTTGCCAGTACTTCTTGCCAAAAATAGAACATCGTGTGAGTTTATCGAGTGCTCTGAATACAAAAAAGCACTTTTCTACCTCTCTAAATGAACTTTCTTTTTTTCTTACCGTTGATAAATGCTCTAAGGAAATAAAACTAAATAATTATATCAAAAAAAAGTTTTCAATCTGGTATTTGTGTATTCTGCCCAAGAAACTTTTTAAAAGTCTCTTTATGTTTATTGTGTCGTGGCTTACTTCATCTCTTTTATTTTTAGAAATAAATCATTTTAGATTTAAATGGCTGCTGCTGCTATTACCAGTACTACTGTTCCTATTCCTGCTCCAACAACAACTGCTGCCGAACCGTCTCTTCCTCGAAATTTAAAACAATTAATTGCTGAGATCGATCAATCAAAAAAGGAAATTGATTCAAAAGTAAAAACTTTGGAAAAATACGATACAAGTCGCAAGAAAAAAAAAGACAATCTTGATAAAGCCAGTGAAGGACGAAATACACTAAAATCGTTACATACGAGAGTAAACGATATTCAACAAGAAGTTGAAAAAGCTACAAAAGAGAGTGACAATAGTGAATCATTTAGAAGTTTCAATAAATCAAAACAAGGAGCATTAAAAACATTAGCATCACTAAGTACAAAACTTTTAAGCGCCGATAAACACCTTGAGAAAATAACCGGCCCTACTGACGATTCAATAACAGCTACTACTACAGCAATAAAAACAGATGGTGAAGAAAAATCATCGGGTATTGCATCTCTTGTACGAAATATGCCATTTGGACGAGGATCAAAAAAAAAGAAGAAAGATGTTACAACATCATCAGTTGCACAACCAGCAGCAATCATAGATGCGACAACAGAGGCTGGTGCAACAGAACATGCGCAGAAAAGCGGAGAAGTTGCAAAAGACGAAGATATAGATGAGGAGAGTGACGCAGCAAGATCAAGTGACGAAGATGATGATGATGATGATGATGATGATGATGATGACGTAGTGACAGATAAAAAGAGTGAAGGTTTGTTTTCATTTTTTCGTTAAATTATGAACTTACCCAGAAAGCCATGATCTATAAGTTGATGTAGATGAAGAGTTCGTCATAAAGAGCCATTACTGCTACGAAAACATAATTAGCCTAGATGAGAATTTATTTTGAGAATTGTCTATATAGACTTTGGAAGTTAAACTCGTGTCAACAGACATAATCGTCTCATGCTTGCTATAATCGACATTGTCTTTCCCAAAACTTTGATGAACCCCTTCTATCTAGATCATTTCTACTTATCAATTTAGAAATACCGAAACGTCCAATGAAACAACCAGTGCCAACTATTCATTCAAATGTTGACCAAGACTCAACGTCGAGTGATGATGACGATGAACTCAAACTGTTGAATAATTATCAGAAAGAAGTTTCGCAATCAAAGAGTATGATGTCTGACGAAAATGAGAATAAAAAACGTCTGCATACACCACCAAGCGTTCGTTCAACAAGTTCTCTAAGACATCGAAAAGAAAACGAAATACATTCCGATCATAAACAAATAACAACTATTCCTGTTGAGCGAAAACAGAAAAAACCTGTAATTTCCACTGATAGTGAGGATGAGGAAGAGGAAGGTGATAAAACATATTTTGAAGAAGAAGATGATGAACTGAAAAAGTTAAAAGAAGACAGTGTGGTAGACGAGGAAGAAGAAGAACAGCAGGCTTCGGACATCGATGAAGATAATCAACATCTCAGAAGATTAAGAAGTGAGAAAGTTGAGCCTGGTACAATGTTTCGTGCTCTTCAAGATTTAACAGCTGAGAAAGAAGACGATTTAGACCTTCGAAAAAATGATCGCTTAGAACTCGTTCAACAATCACCAGATGATTGGTGGATATTTAAAAATGATCAAGGAAAACAAGGTTACGTTCCAATTAATTATATTGAACAAATTTCTGATTCTAATGAAATTCATCCATCATCACTACCGGGTCAAATTCGTCAACATCGACGCATTAGAAGACAGGAACCGTCGGCATTGATTGATGCATTAAAAGTCCAACGCAGTATTCCATCTGGTTTTGTTTTATCGAATTTAGCATCATTAACAACATTAAATAAATATCAGTTATCAAATTATTTAATACCAAAAATGACTGAATCAAATTTATATTATACTGATTTATATTGGCGTCACGATATACAATCGATTCGTTTACATAATGTACATCATCAAAAAATATTAACATTGAAATCATGTCTTAAAATACCAAAAATTGTTCAACAACCAAATATTACTATTTTGAGTCGATGTGTAAGAGTATGTTTACATGATGGATATGAAATTGTAAGTAATATTCATACTGTACGTGCACATGTCAAAAAGACGAGTGATCCACATGAATTAACAGAAACATGGTATTTTTCTGATTCTGAAATAAGATCATTAATAGATGAACAACCTGAATTATTAATACGCTCAGACTTACAAACATTATCAAATATTATTATGGAATTAGCAGTCACATGTCAATCAGCACTAACAAATGAAAAATGTGAAATTGGATGTGGATGGATAATGATACCGATCGAGTAAGTTAATAATTTAAAAAATAAATGTAATTATTCTCAGAGTTGAATTTCTGAAAATTTGAGTACATAGTAAGAAAACAAAGATTCGAGAAAATGGCAGAACATCTGAGAGTAAAATCTTATTCTATTAATTTCATTGCAATCAAACTACATTATAGAATTAGCATCATTAACAACATTAAATAAATATCATTTATGTCCGATAGAGTCAAATGTTCATATTGTGAAACGTTTAGATTATCGATCTTTACTCGTCGCTAGCGAAGTTTTATTAATTTTCGTTATTTTATTTATGAATAGCATTTTCTACTTTACTTTAAATGAAACGTACACGTAAGGAATGGAGAGATCATAAAACGATATTTTAATAACAGGATGTTGGAAACTCTACTAATGTGAGAAGAATTGCAAACAATTTATTCACATGTTCTATGAGTTTGTATTAAAAGTTTTAAAGTACCAGCGTTCTATTTTCCCGATACATTTTGCTGGAAGAAAAATAAAAAATCTAGGTAGTTGTTCACCTTACACAGTGAACATTTTCGGATTACCAAGCAGATATGAAATTATTTTTCTAGAACCTCTTATTTCGTGTCGAATATGATTTATTAGAACTCATTAGTTACGTTTTTCTGAAAAAATATACACCATGGATCGCACGACTAAAAGTTTCGATGGAAAACTTGTTTGCTTAAGATAATGGATGAGGCAGAAAAAACCGATCTCTCAGTATTTTCTAGTTTTCTCCTCTCCTTTGCACACAAATCACCATTTTACTCACTACAAGAAGCATGTTGAACATTTTTCCATATACTGTGAAAATAAATAAATATAGAGAAAATACTGTAAAGTTGCAATGTCAACAATTTTCTAATCCCAAGGACACAATGAAAATAAAAATATCTTGAACGTGGTCCTATGCAAAAAAGTGAAGTCGAAATGTATGTTTCAGTGCTTCGAAGTGTTGTCTTTCTTTTTGTGTATCATCGATTGAACAAAAGCCGATTTTATCAAACAATTCACTAAAAAAAGAAGGAACTTGACCTTTTCACCTTGTTACAGTAAAAGAAATGAAAAAGAAATATTGAATTTTCTCTGTTCGGATGTGATAGAAGAATTATTCTGTTTTCAAATAAAACAAATCTGACCTTAAACGTTAACCGAGTTATAAAAAAATTTCTAACTAACCTCGAAATTCCAGTTTGAAAACGATGTTTTTTTGACAAAATCAACAGAAAAAGAAAAAAACCTGTTGCAATCGCTTGCCGTAAGGAATAGTTTTAAATTGACACAGCAATTTATGGACAGTAAAATATCTATCTTGTCTTTTGTATATCTCACAATATGAAGAGCTAAAATGGAAAATATTGAGTTCTTGGTTATAAAATTGTCGATATTGTAACTTTACAGTGTTTTCTCTATATTTTTTTATTTTTACAGTATATGGAAAAATGTTCAACATGCTTCTTGTAGTGAGTAAAATGACGATTTGTTTTCAAAAAACATGAACTTAAGAGTGTCTAAAGGAGAGGAGAAAACTAGAAAATACTGAGAGGTCGATTTTTTTCTGCCCGATCTGTTAATAGTGTCTTATACGTTTCTATGCAACTCGATGCGTTGATTATTAGTCTTATAAAAGCTTGATTTAAAGAAGAAGTCAAAATGACGTGAAAACTGGTCAGTTTTTCAAAAACCTGAAAAGATTGTCTAAACCTCTATGAAGTATGTGTGAACTAGACATAAATGAACATATAAAGTTTTTGAAAACTTCAGTAATTCATTAAACTAAAAATTCTTGATTTTTTTGTCGAAATGCATTTGATAAAAGATTTTTTTCTCCAAGATTTTTGCAACAAAGTTTCATAGTTTTTAACGTATCGGCATAATTAATCAGAACTTTTTACTCAAAAAGTAGAAATAATGTTAACATTTTTATTTATTCTATTTGACATATAAAATGTTTTCTTGTTCTATTTTTATTTTTAGTCTTCCTCAAGCACTAATGACTAATACAAAAAGTTTTAGTGAATTTTTACATGGCGGATATTTAGATGAAAAAGATGTTTTATTAGATTCTGAATATCGAAGTTTACGAAATGAAGGAATATCGGGTATGATTGATCAAAGAAAACGAGCTAAAATTACATTTTCTGTTGAATCACGTGAAGAAAAAATTGATAATTTATATGATCATTTACCTACACAATCAATTGTTGTACCATTAAATCTTGTAAAAATATTATATTATTATCGTCAAGAATTAGGTTATGTATTAAATAAACAATCAATATCAACAACACCAATTCATTCAATATTTTTAACAACATTTTTTTCAGCATTAGAACAACGAGATTTTATGGATGCTTTATCTAGTATACATCGTTTAAGAAGAAAACAATTTCCATCAAATTTATCCATACAACAAAAGAAACAAGAATTTATTAAAACATATGAAACATATATTTATCCATTATTAAATTATAGACAATTATTACCATATGATTTTCATGATGAAGGAGTATTAAAAGAACGAAAAGGTATTATTAAAACAATGTTAGCAAAACAAATGGATAAAAAAAATGATATTTTAACACTTTTACTTGATTCACAATGTAAGTAATATTAATACACTTAGTGTTATTTTGCTAAATTTTCTAAGTTTAAAACTCTTCTATTCAATTGGCGTACAATTTTCGTTTTTTTTGTTTTTTTTTGATATTTTAGATACGGACAAATGGACACCATTTGTAGCTGAAAATGAAATTTGTTTTTCATTACAAAATCATTTTAATCAATTTCAACCGGAAATTATGACATAAGAAGACAAAAACAATATTTTCTGTTTATTTAGAATAGTTGGTTATTGAAATGACTTCTCGTTTTGTATGTATATATATTTTCTTTTTTTATTCTTTTTATTGTTGTTACAATTGATTAGACAAATATTTCAACAACAAAAACGAAATTTAAATTAGAAATAGGATGAAATTTTAACTATATATAATTTAGCTTCAATCATACTTAGAAGGCAAAAAAGAAAATGAATAAAAACCTTTTATATTTTATTGTAATAGAGAGCAATATGTGTGTTAAACAAATTTATGATCATCGGACTCATTTCTAACTTGATAAGTTACATCCTAATTCTTGATTAACGTTCAATCAATTTCAAATAATTGAATTTTTACATTCTCTCGTAAAATATTACAACAAAAAAATATCATCAATAACATTCAAAATCAAAACGTACACAAAATTTCATGAAACAATAACTCAAGAAAAAAAAAAAGATGTATATCAAAAATAAGTTTCATTTTTATATCTGACAAGAAAAAAAAAAATGTTTATTAAAATCAAAGAAAAATTTACAGAAGAAGATGATCAATTTGAAATTGAATTGATGATGCAATTTGTTTAATATAATCATACGATATTAAACATAAAAATTTTGATTCATTAAGATTAATATTACCCGTTTTATTTCCAACTAATTTTAACATACCCATTGAACATAATGTTGTTAAGTGTTGATATGTTTGACATGTTAAAGGATTATTTTCACCAACAATTGAACAATAAATAGCCAATAGACGATTAAGTAGAACAGGTTTTGATATAAAAATTTCATTCGTTGATTTTATCATACCCGTTATTCGTTTTTGTGCTATTTTTGAACGTTTTGATCTTTTTGTTATTTGACGTTTATCATATAATTGTTTATCATATTTTGATGGATTTCGTGCAGCTAAATAACAAGCTATTAATAAATATTTACATGTTAAGGGTAATTCAACATCTTGTTGATTTAATGTTGAATAATAATTATTATCATTATTAATTTTAACTTGTTGTATATCATGTGTATCAAGAAATTTTCGAACACTCATTGTTCGAGTATAAACAGAATTTAATGCTTTTGTTAAAAATTCTTTTTGATAAAATAATCGATAATCAATATCGTCATCACCATCATCATTATCACCAATCGATCGTTCATTTAAACGTAAAAAATCTTTTATACACATTAAACATATATCTTTTAGTTCGATTAAATCATTTGTTACATCATAAAATAATTGTAATTCTAATGTAAGAATAATACTAATTTTTTGTTTTAATAATTGAAGTTGATCTATGATAATAAATAAACAACAAAAAATGTTTACTAATGTAAGATAAATGTGTGAATACAAATTTATAACTAGTTCAAATACTTTTTGATAAAAATCAACAATAAAATCCAAAGGTAAAGCAGTACGAAGAAGATAAGATAGAATTGAATTTTCAATATGTGTATAGATAATTATATCAAAAGAAAAAGACAAAGAAAAGAGAACGAAGTTATCAAAGTGTTCACTATTTTCTCACTATTGCCTGATGATGATCTAAGAATAGGTTGAAAGTCTTGTATCTGATTTGTTTTATATTGATTCTGTTAGAATTTATAAAATAACGTGAAATAAAAATGTTTACAGCAGTTCTTTACTTCATTCTATCTTAAACATCAACAAATTTGCTTATATTGAAAAGAGAGAGAGAGAGAGATTTCTCAAAGTAAAAGTTTGATAAAAAACTGATGAAACAAGACAAATTTTCTATCTTTACATCTAATAGTGAAAAATTGTCTCATCTACAGATCACAGTTGAATATTTCACTCGATCTTAGAAGAGAACATGTGTCAGAAAATTATCGAATCTTCGAAAAAACAACAACTTGCTAATATTTAATAATATTTGAGCAATACTTTGAGATATGGTCTGTTTTTCATCGTTCTCCATAAATTAAGCACTTACCGGATGATAAATCAAGAAATGTGGTTATTGTTTGTTGTAAAATTCCATTTAATTCTGTCCGTGTATAAGCGGAAAAAAAAATCGTAATTGGAAGTAACGAGCCAAGATCTGCCTCTATTGTATGTTCTGTTATTAAATTATTAAATGATTTATTACTAATCATAATTAATGTATATTTGAAATAATCCAATGTCAATTCTTCCAATTTAAATAGAATATACAATAATGTTGACGATGTATCATACTGCAAAAGTAATTCAATATGATGAAGAACAACAAAATAATGTTGTTGTTTCTTCTTTTGTTTAAAACAATAGTCTCGTATTTTACGAATAAATTCATTGAGATTTTTTGGATAGAATTTTTTTTTATCATCCACATCATTTATGAAAGATGAAAAAAATGAATTAAAAAACATATTCAATGAAAATATTTCACGACAATCAATATAAATAATATTCGATTTCGTTACCACTGATTCTAATACATGTTTAACAATAGATGATTTACCTGTATTCGAATTTCCAAAGATGTACAGTTGTTTCGGATACGGTATGGTGTCATGATAAGAGAGAAGATGTTTGATTGTAGAATATTGTAACGAACGATATTTAAAACTGTCAGGCAATGAGTCAGACATTGTTTATCGAGTTTAAATCTATCTATAACCAAAAAACCAATAAAAAAATTTTATCTATATAAAACGGTATTTATTTCAACTTTGAGTAATTGAGCTCTTGTTTTATATTTAATCACTTTTTCTTCACAAACATCTCATCAAAAAGGATGTCACCCTAAACTCAAAGAGAGAACAAAATTCTCGTTATTGATCAGCTAATCCGAAATGAAAAGAGTAAGAGAAAGATATAAAGCTTTCACTAAAGGTTCAATGATATTGTAATTATATAGTGTACTAATCGTACATTGATCACAATAAAATGCATACAATGTAAATAAAAGAAGAGAGTTGACTGCGATCTAAAAGTGTTCTAGTAGATGCTTCAAACATCGATGTGATAGCTAGTTAATCGAAAACTACAAAACACCTTTTAGCGACTAACATTGAGCTCCGACTCAAAAGGTTAAAAGAATCGATTTTCTTTATGCCTTAAATCTGTGCAACGACTCAATAATCTACAGAACACAGCTAAGAGCTAGAAAAGAACTACTATATTCATAGCAAAATTCTAAATGGGATCTACAATTAAATATTTTTCTCTCGAGAGTTTCTCTCGTTAATCGTTAGATTGTGTCTCGTAGCAGGGGTATGTCAAGAACAGAAAAGTTATTGTATCGAGAATGTTGATAGGAAATATTAAACAGAAATGAAGAGAACTTGAATTTAAAAGATGAGGCAAATGAAAATACAGCTCTTACGGATATTGAGCAAAAAACAGATTAGTAAGAAAAGAAAAAAAGATTTTATATTATTGTGATTTACTATTGAATTGATGTATCACGGAACACCAGAAATAGCTCGCAATTCGTTAAATTAAGTGTGATCGTAGGACAAAAATCGGACTGAAATCGTTATCGTACTGAATGCGCTTCAGAACGCGCTTTTTTACGTTTGATTACTCTTTTTTTCTGCATTAAGAGATTCGCTAGTCAATATATACCTATTGGGCCATTTGTACGTTTCGAAAAAATGAATTTTTTGGGCTTATTACAGAAAATATATAATAAGAGATGATCTAGGAAAAAAAATAACGCATTAACAGTTTCTTGCTGGAACTGACTAATGGCGTTACCATGGATCTATACATGAAAAATGCACGCCTAAACAAAGACAATTTCCATCTTTTATTCTTGATACATAGTGACAACAAAATAACAATAAGCCTGCTGCGACAAAATTCGCAGCTACTTCTCTCACACGGTTTTATGATGAGATTCAATTTGAAAAATAAAACTATAATACTTTCAAAGCATTCGAATGCATGAAATTATTGTGAGTTTAAGCAATATTGCCGATCGCTACAGTCAACGTTGACCGATACTATATATGTACTTAGACTACAATCAAACAAGGAAAGAAAAACATACTTTCTCGTCTTTTTTGCTCTTTTCTAATTTCGCTAAATAGATTATTGATGAAAAAAAGTTTCAAAACTTTTTTATTTAAATAGTATTATAAAATTTTGTGATTTACGTAAACATCTCATTCGAATTATATACCACTTGACTAAAGTTATTCTAAAACTTTTAGAATAACTCTAGTCAAGTGGTATATAATACAGTGACTGTTGTCCTATATAGTTGTATACATATATACGACATCTCTCAAAGTTCTTTACCTTCTTTAATACTTTGCCGATAGAGAAATACTTTAACTCTGTAAACTTTTATATTATATGGATGTTTTCGGTCGAGATATTCTACTACAACTAAAATTTCTAGAACCAAGCGCTACTTTCTATTAGTTTCACCTTGATGATAATGACTAGATCTACAAATTTTAGTTGTAGATATATTAATCGATGTCTTCACACAATCTTAGTTATGCTAGTTTTCGCTCTCGTTAAAACTTCGTCATTTAATTGTTTAAAAAATATTTTAGCAGTGAATATTATATACACTGTTCTTGAAAAGCTGAGGAAAATATTCGAGTTAGAAAGTGGGATTAATTTATGTAAATTGAGCTTAATAATATTTAAAAAAAATTTATTGTTCAATGAGAGAACTTTCAACATTAAAATAGATGTCGTATGTATTTGGTATTCTATATCCATATCGATCTATATTCAAAAAGAAAAAGAAAATATTCTTCCTTTGTGATTGGTCAACTCTCTATTGTACCTTCTGAGTTATTCTTTCGATAAAAATATATTCTTTCGATAAATTTTACTACAAAAACATTACATTTAATTGTCGAAATAGAAGATTATTTTGATACTCTATATTAGGATACTCGAACTTGGACAAGGCACGCGAGAAATGAAAGCTAGAAGTAATGAGATCAACGTAAGTTCACGCGGTTTCTAATAGATTACAGCTAAGTTCATACCTAACGTACGGTTATCGATCAATCTGACATATTTTTTTCCATGGGTTACACACTTTTGTTTTCTTTTCTTTCAAGGACTACACAGTTGAGGTAGCTCATATTGATCATCTGATGCTTCACAGTAATCTTTGGGGTTACTTACTACTGGAAAAAGTTGATCAAAATAAATTACAACCAAATTTGGTTGTAGAATAACCTCTCGGGAAAAGTGGTAGACGGACCAGTAAAAACACGATAATAAAAGTTTCATTTTATCAAATAAAGCGAAAGAACTTTTGTATCTAAAAGCGACAACAATCAGCAGCTACTTCAATTTTATAAAATTTCTTTTTTCTATAAGAGAATCTAATCAAACAAATTCTTTTGAATTAAACAAAAATTTTGTCCTCTTTCTAACGCTTATGGCTTTACGTATTTTTCAAAATGAATGAACAAAATATTGTAGCATCAAGTTTTTCTGAACTTGAATAGACGATAAAATAGACGTAAAAGTTAGAATTTTTCGGTAAGTTTTGATCTATTTAACTCATAACTGATTGTGGTAACAAGATTTATTTTCTCGTACATACAGCTGTTCTGAGTAAAAACAATAGTCGACGTTGGTAATCGTAGTAGCAAAAATGAAAATTAATACCAAAACACAAATCAATCGTATCATGTAGTACTTTTATCTTAGACTAGTTCTATACAGGAGAATATAAATCTTTTTCGGAAATTAATGTACAAATGAAATCAGAAAATGTTTATTTTTAAGAAAAATGGGATCAGTAGTGTATTTTTACGTATTATCAATTACGATAAGGAAAACAAAAGAATAAACAAGATTTTATTATGACAATTTATTATGATGAAAAAAAAGAAAGACTATCACATTGATTATCTGTTTCTCATCGTTCATAGCCAAGAAAAAGCCAGCATGAGATCTGAAAAGCAGTTACTGTTATTTTGTTGTTGGTACATGTGAACACTATTTTCTCTGAACATAATATTGAATTGTTTGTATTTGAATTATATAGAAAAATACAAACAATAACAAATATAGATATGTTCACTTTAATAATCTACGGCTGAAAATCGACGAAACTCAAATTTACAGTTGTTAAATACACAGATGATTGTACTACTCCAATATCAGTTACAAGCTAATTGAATATTATTCACGGTAAATGTTATAATGGGTTGCTGATCAAGACGATTATGTAATGCATGTTGAATAAAATTAGATGTTCCAACCAATTCAATTTTATGGCTTCGTAAAGATTGTGTTAACATGCATCAAGAAGAAGAATTCAAAAATAAGTATTATTAGTTCTTTGTGATCGAAAAGATACGTCTCTTTCGATAAGCAAAGTGAAATTTTCCATATTCACAATGGAAGTTCCGTTTGGTTAGTGGAAGCCACACTGCGTCTTCAACCAATTCAGTAATCATAGAAATGCTGATCAACAGATAGCCAAGATAGCCGATATTTTGGCTAATGCGAAATGATTCAGTCAGTTTCTATATTTGTCTTGATCTTGTCATTTGTTTGATTTTCTATGTTTGCTAATCTGTTCTTCTAGTAAAGTTTATATTAAGTTATTTTTCTCACAAATTCGTTTTCGTTTTTGACAACATTTGTTTTTGTCCGTACAACAATGTTTTATCGTTCGTGTCATGTTGACGAACCGATTACACAACGGACAAAATTTTACCACATGGGTGCTAATGACTCTCTCATTCGTTACTGAAATTGATGTGAACTACTAGAAAGATGAATGTATTAACATTGATTGAAATGAAAGGTTTACGATACATCTAAAATTTGTGCCTCATGTTCTGACAATGAACATAATTTCTATCATTTATGTATATATCTTGCCCTCGCGCATTCTTCCACTGTCATGAATTGTGTCTCATACTTTTCCTTTTGATATAAAGTGTTGATAAATTAACGAACTTGAAGAAAGTATGTTTAAGAATTATTTAAAACAAAGAAATAAATTTTTTTACTTTTGTTTCAGATTATACACTTCATATACTATTTAGATTGATTTACTTTAATTTTCTTTTTTACAATCAATTCCTTTACCCGTTATCATCTCTTTTCAATGTAAACATATTGTATGTCAGGCGCTGATACAAAGTCTCGCTTGAAACGCGATAAAAGTAAATCATTATTAGACGAAGCAAATTCATTGTCAAATCAACCACCGACAAAAAAACAAAAACGTCAAACTACAATAAAAGACCATATGGATAATTCTTCAACAATAGACAAAATTTCTCTTAATCAATATTCAAATGGTTCATCGGCATTTCGATCAACATCGTCCTCATCAACGTCTTTGCCGTCCCCATCTTCTCAAACTACATCCAATGTAGCAACTAAAAAACTTGTTATTAAAAATTTAAAAGGTAAGCAATGATCTGGCATTAACAATAGTACTGATTTTAGTTTGTTTGTTTTTCTTCTTCCTATTACAGCTTCTCAACAATTGCCAAATAATTATTTTGATAAAATATGGCAATTATTAAAACAAGCACTCGAAGCTATCCTAACAGGTACGAACAGTCCATCAAATGAAGAACAATTATATCGTCATATTGATAATTTATGTACAACAACAACAAATGATACATCAACAAAATCAATGTCTTCGCTACTCTATGATCATCTGAAACAAGTTTTCGAAGATCATATTCAAACAATGTTGCCGACATTAACAACGTATTCTTTTTTTTGTTTTTGTGAGAGAGATGTAGTTTTTATTTTCATCCATATAGTGATGAGAATGAATAGAGAAAACCGTTCAGGATCAAAAAACGTTTAATTAGTATGTGTCTGTTTATTCTTCTTAACGCAAGGATTTATGGATTTGTAGAGAAATGAATGACAGTGAAGAATACTTACGTTTATTAAGTTTAACATGGAGCAATCATAGTATTCGATCTGTAAGTGAATAGTCTCATATATATTTTCTTTTTAAAGTATTTTTCAATTGTTTTTTACTTTAGAGTCTCATCCGACAATTATTTATTGTACTTGATCGAACGTATGTTTTACATACTACCAATGTATTGAGTATTTGGTAAGAAACATGAATCATTGATGTGCGGACGCTTTGTAGAAATATATCTTTTTGTTTTCTATTTCTATTCAAGGGATCTTAGTCAAGATCTATTTCGTCGTTACATAATGAAAAATTCCATTATATTAAATCGGTGTGTGGAAGTGCTCTGATAAGAATTATTATTATTTTTTATTATTTTTTTCAGTTGTGTGAATGGTTTACTCAAAATGATCGAACAAGAACGGAATGGCGAAACTATTGATCGAAGTTTAGTAAAAAGTCTTGTGAAAATGTTGCTTGATTTGCAGGTAATGGAAACTTAATAAATCCATGTGGAAGAGCAGTTTTGAATAAACTTGAGAATAGAAAGTAAAGAACTGCGACAAAAAACATATTTAAAAGATTTTAACTAAATCTTTTAAATATGTTTTTTGTCGTAGTTCTTTACTTTCTATTCTCTTATAGAACCTTGCTAAAAGTTTGTGTGAAACATTATGAACATTAGTGCTGTTGTTGTTATTTAGCTTTATCACAAAGATTTTGAGGTATTATTTTTACAAGCCACTGGACAATTGTATTACAATGAAGGAAGACAGTTAATTCAAACACTCGAGATTAATCAATATTTAAAACATGTTGAAAAACGTTTGCAAGAAGAAAATTTACGTTTAACACATTATATCGATCATTCAACAAAGTATTTAACGGCTTGGTTAGCTAATTCTGCTACCGGAGTGATATTCCATTATTCTTTTTCTGGCATTTTGTTTCTCTTATAATTAATATTTTCGAACGGTTATATGTTCCAAGCACTGGAATGTGTAAGATTAAAGCGAAATGTATGCTGAAGACTTCGAGATGTATCCGAAATCTATATGATTTCTCTTTCAGAAAATATGGTCAAATTTTCAGAACTTCAGAAAAACTAGGTGACTGTATTCTTATCCGAAAGGGAGAGTGTGATTATATCTCGTAGTCTTCAGCACACATTTCTTTTTAATCTTGGACATCTTGGAGCTTGAAACATCTGAACGTTTGAAAATTATGAGAAAAACAAAATGTCAAAAAAGAACATAACGGAGTGTCACTCCGATAGAAGAATTAGCTGGCAAAGCCTCGTTATCACTTTTTATATGTATATGGTCTATTATTTGCTCATGTGATACTAATACAATGATATTAAGTTGTCTGAAAAGACATTCTGCGCTACTCTAATCCCGTTGCATATCGTTTACGATCTGTTTAGAGTGGCTCTAATTCATCATGTGGAAAAGAATCTTATTACTGTACATGTTAAAGAGATACTAAAGGGTAATTAGCCAGATTAAATGGAAATATCACACAACAATTATATTTTGTTCGTTGTTTTTTTAGGTCTGGAATTGCTGATAGATGAAAATCGTAGATCGTCCATTTCGCTTATGCACTGTTTATTATCTCGTATCGGAATCACTGGTACTACTGATTTACGTGAAGCGTTTAGTAACTATATAAAAGTAAACAGATATATTTCTGATGTTTTCTTGACTTTATACTTTGTTTGTTTTCATATAGAATCGTGGTCGTTCATTGATAATCAATCCAGAAAAAGATGCCACAATGGTACAAGACTTGTTAGATTTTAAAGAAAAATTAGATTTGATATTACACGAATGTTTTCATGATAATGACAAATTTTCCAATACACTTAAAGATTCATTTGAATTTTTTATTAATCAACGTGTCAATAAACCTGCAGAGCTAATCGGTATACACATTCGATTATTTAATATAAAAAAATAAACAAATTTATTTATTTTTCTTTTAGCAAAACATGTCGATTCAAAGTTGCGAGCAGGAAATAAAGAAGCAAGTGAAGAAGAATTAGAAAAAAGTTTAGATAAAATAATGGTATTATTTCGTTTCATTCATGGTAAAGATGTATTTGAAGCATTTTATAAAAAAGATTTGGCTAAACGTTTATTAGTGGGAAAAAGTGCATCGGTTGACGCTGAAAAATCAATGTTATTAAAACTGAAACAAGGTGAGGTATTTAATAAGTAATTTACATTCATATATTGCTTTAGTTGTTGTTTTCTGAAAATAGAATGTGGTAACCTTTTTACAAGTAAATTGGAAGGCATGTTTAAAGATATGGAACTATCTCGTGATATTATGCTCGCTTTTGAACAAGTAAATATATCTTTTTTTATCAATATTTATTTTCTTAAAAATAAATGATCTATTACAGTCTACTCACATTCGAGAAATATCAGGGAATATTACTATGACAGTGAATATTTTGACTATGGGATTTTGGCCAACATATCCGGTCGTACAAGCCAATTTGCCACCAGAAGTAAAGTTGATAATAGATAAAGAGCTTTTAGACTCTTCATTGTCAATTGTCTTATACCTTTTAGATGTGTCGATTTCAAGAAACATTTACGCGTTTTTATTTGAGTAAACATAATGGACGAAAATTACAGTGGCAATATTCATTAGATCATTGTTTAATTAAAGGTTATCTTAAAGACAAAAAAGTAAATGCAAACGATTAAATATTTTCTCATACAAGTACTCAGATATATCGTTTTATTTAGGCTATGAAAGAATTTCAAGTATCATTGTATCAAGCACTTGTTCTTCTATTATTTAATTATACAGAAGAACTTAGTTATAAAGAAATAGCCGAACAAACAAAAATAGGTATAAATTCGTTACTACTTTAGTTTTCACTCTCTTTTACAATCAATATGTTGCGTTTGTAGAAGAAGTTGAATTACAGCGAACGCTGCAGTCATTAGCATGTGGAAAAATTCGTGTGATGAATAAAAAACCGCCGGTATGTGAAAGATTGTGTGTATTTGAAAGGTCTAAATATTACTAAGTCTAAATATTACTACTGGGATAGTTAGTACAAAAAAGGAAACATGAGAAGTACTTCACTGTCTTCAGATTTTTTTTGAACAATTTTTTGACTTTAAAGTTAGTAATAATTTTGTTTTAGAGCAAAGATGTTAGTACGAATGATCATTTTACCTTGAACACATCATTCGATCATAAATTAATTCGAATTAAAATAAATCAAGTTCAAATGAAAGAAACACCGGAAGAAAATACGTCGACAACCGAACGTGTATTTCAAGATCGACAATATCAAATTGATGCAGCAATCGTCAGAATAATGAAAACAGTATGTGTTTGCAGTTCTGTAAGGGGTACCTGGAAATTCAGTTGACCTATAAAAATAAGTTTCTATTAAAAGGAGGCTAGAAAAGGTTTAGTTTTTTTCAGAACAAAATTTTTTGAAGAAATGTTTCTTGAAGAAGTTATGGGTAACTTTTCGGCTAGACTGAAAGCAATCTAATCATACATTTAGACCAGTTGCTCTGTTTCGCTTCTACAAGTTCTCACAACGTCTCTTGTCTAGACGAAATTTCATTCATAACTTCTGCGAGGTTTGATAAAATTCAAGAAACAATCCCCTACAAAATTTTGTTCTCGATAAAACTACGCGTTTTCTGGTCTCTTAGCAGAAACTTTTTCTTATGGGTTGACTGAAATAACAGGTACCCATTGCAGGGCTCTATACATCTGTCGACTGAAAGTAGCTAATAGCTAACTACTGTCGACATTTTGAGTAAGCTAACCGTACTTCTTTCTGAATATTTTAGCGAAAAACATTAGCACATAATAAGCTAATAACAGAAGTTTATGCACAATTAAAATTTCCTATTAAGGTAAGTCCGTCTCTCTTCTTTTTTTTCTTGTTATGATTCTCTCGTTTGAAATTCTAGTCAGTGGACCTCAAGAAACGTATCGAAAGTTTATTAGAACGTGAATATATGAAACGTACTGAACAAGATCCAAATGTTTATGAATATGTTGCTTGACAGGAGTTTACAGTTAAAATAGAGTTTATGTATTTCTAGTCAAGCAAACTGGATAAGGCAGAAAGCGTGACAATATGTAACTCCAGCTCTTTTTTTTCTTTTCCTATAGCCATTATTGTCTTTTGTACAGTTTCTCCCAAAATTTATTTATTAATTGTCTTTGTGCGTGTATGTACGTGTGAGTTACACTCGGCAGAGATCGTCCATGTGTTTTTGTGTCATAATTCTATTTTTGTTTTTTTTGTTTATGTGTACGTTCGGCTGGTGCTCTACTTGATGACAAGAAGAAAGTATGATAGAGAGAGAGAAAGAGATAGAGAGAAAAACCATTCATTGTCTTTCTTTTTTTCAAACTTTAATGCTATTTGTTTTTTCGTCATTTTTTTTTCTCATAATAATAAATAACTAGTTCTTTCGATATGAGAGCGATAAATATATGTTTTTCAAGAAGGGAGCTAATACTGAACAGTTAAATTCGTGACTCATATTCCAACAAACTGTGTAAGTTTTTGGAGAACGACTGCTCAACTTGTCTGGATGTGATATTAATATTCTGTAGATAGTTATGGTTAGATTATTAAGACTTGGGACACTGCACGGTCCAATGCAACAACCTTGGCGCTACAAATATCTAGAAGCTTTATATCAAAGAAGATTGGAAGCTGGTCCCGAACAACCTCGCTTTCGTTCAGCATTCACAAATTGGTAGATTGTTATGATACAACAAGCTTTGACATCATTTTAGTTTGAGTTGTTTTTAGGAATTACGAAGCAGAACTTTATGCTTGTACACATCGTTTTGGTGAAAATATTCATACAGATGTTTTAAGACGAGCGCTTACTGATGCATCATTTATGAAACAAGTCGTTGAACAACGTGCTGAAGCCGGTAAATGTTAACTTCAACACTATTTTATTACACTATTATTGTATTTTGTTCTTTTGTTCCTGTTAGGATTAGATCAAGTAGAACGATCAATGTTGCCAGTTTCTGATAATGAAGAATTAGCAAGAAGAGGTACGAATAGAAATAAATTTTTTGATCTTGAAAGTCATTCGTTTCTTTATTTACATTCTGTAGGGGAAGAGATTGCAAGTCATTATATAAAACAAGTATTAAGATATTGGTATCCAAAGTTTCCTGAAGAAGGCATCGAGTATGTAAAATAATATGACGAAAATTTTTGTAGATATTATTTCTGTATCAAAAATCAGAATAGAGGATAAAATTTGTTTTTATGATCAAGTTATTATTCCAGAAATGTATCTGTCTCTGATTTATTCTAGGGCCGTTACTGCTTTTCTTTTATCCGAAACAACTGTTGCTTATATTAGTGAACGACTTGGTTTTAAAACAATTATTCGATGTGATGTAAGAAATTTATTTAGTTATTTTATTTATATTTCAACACATATTTCTGCAAAAGGTAATGACTATCTTTGTCTTTTTAGACGCCTGTTCCTCGCCCAGCAACAATGAAAAATGCTTTAATGGCCTTTATTGGAGCTATTAATGAGAGCAGTGTATGCAAAGCATTTGATTTTCAAATATTTCTTTTCTCTTTAATGTGATTCTTACTTTAAAGGATCAACAACGTGCTGAAGCGTTTACTGCCGATTTTATTCTAACACATTTAGTTGGAAAAGATATAAATGAAATTTGGCACATATCAAATCCCATGGGCCTTTTATCAAAAATTTTAGAAGCCAATGGTCGTCAACCAGCAGAATCTAGGTAAATGATTGGCATATTTGCATTAAACTGTTTACAGGTATCGCTTTTTCAGATTAATTTGGGCAACGGGTGTATCAAGTGTTTTGTCGACGTATGTTGTCGGTGTTTACTCTGGAAAAGAATTTTTAGGCAAAAGTATGACAGTGATAGAACTTGACCGTTGAATGCGTTGCATTTATTATTGTTCATTTATTATTTTTCAGATTATGGCAATACGATTGCTTTAGCTGAAGAAATGGCTGCTCGTGATGCACTTCGTCGATATTTTGAAACAAGTGAAGAACGTGCACCAATTCCGTTTGACAAATTAAAACATATGAATTTTACATCTAGATTAAAACCTTAAGTGTACTGCATTTTTTTTGTATATAATAAATCAAATTACTTCCGTGTGTCTTTAGTAAAGATCGATCTAATATAATCGTTACTTCATAACATGTTCTAGTCATTTTGACGTGTGACGTTTATCTCCTTAAAACAGACTAGGAATAATGAATTTGGTGTTGCAGTTTACTGTTAATTTAAGTATTTATCTATGTTCGAGTCCGTATTTGTATAAAATCAATTTTATAGTTATTTTTTCGATAATTTAGGTTTTAAAAATACTATAATGGATTTGTTTTCGTTTGCATTCTCAAAGAATAAGGCTTAAATTAAACGTGTACGAATAACAATAATTGACCTCCTTGCGTGTTTCTTTCGTATATACAAACAATCTACAAAATAATTTTAAAATAGCTGATAAAAGCAGAATACTTGCGTGTAGATTTTTCTTCTTTCTCTTATCAGTTAAAAAGAAAAGAACAATGTTACCACTTCGTTTATAGTATGAAACAAAAATTTACTATTTTGACGAGAACAAGTTGTTCAAACATCATGGGTTGTAATCAAAGTAAAATATCAAAAGATGAAGTTGTAGTACCACAAAAAAAGACATACAACATTTTTGAAAACTTAGTCCTTCCTGAATTTGATGTATCGTCGTCTGATGATGATGATGATGAAAAAAGAATAATAACAAAAACAAATGCAATAATGAAAGACGTGTACAAAATTAATAATGATCATCAACAATATTCAGCAAATCACCTAGACCATGAAAAACAAAAATCGACTATCCTTGATAGTAAATATATTCAAAGTTTTGTGTAATAAATCGCTCACAAACAGAAGCATATCAAATTTAACACAGAAGAGGACAGAGTGAGTTAGAGTATTATTCAGATAAATACTAAATCTTGTTGGTGAGATTGACTTTGTTGTTATACATATGAGAGCATCCATAGAGTATTTTCGTTACTGGTACGTTAGGGTTCTTTTCAACGAACTTCTAAAATTCCATCTCGTCGCCGCAGATAAAGGAAGAGCAGATTCTGTGCATTTAAATAGGCAAAATTTTTTGTATAATACACTCTCAAAAGTGTTTTTCCGTGATTTTTTTCTATCTATTTTTTTATTATAATGGGATGACAATCAATTTACTGCAGTGGAGGTTTTTTACGTGAACTATCCGTTTTTTTTGGGGGGAAGGGGCTTGTTTTGCACTCGTACTTCACATTATGTTTTCCTTCCATTTATATATTTGATGTTGAATAAAAGCAGACGATCTAGTTTAAATGAGTAAACGTTACAACTAGAAAATACAATGATCAAAAGCTTCTGTATTACAACAAAATTCTATGGTGTTTATAGCAATGAACAAATTTTTCTCTATACAAGAGAAGCATGTGGTAATTCATGCGCAGGAATGGACTGAGCAAAGCAATGATCGTGTTCAGGCACTTGTTTTTACAATATACGCGTTTACGCTGTTGAAGCTACATCCAAACTATATAGATAAAACCTATTTGTTTTGCATGTAGACTAAACTGTCCATAATATTTAGCAGTGATGATACCAGGCTAGAAAATGACGCCGCAATCGATTCTACTCACAGTCTTTGCTGATACTGACTAATCTACTACACCTGTACCTGTTGCATTGTCTAGAAATTTTGATCTCTTGGCCAGAAATAGAATAATTAACAGAACAATAATATACCACTCACCGCTTGTTGTGATCAGATACAGGGATACCGCGACTTTCATCGTTTTTTATGAGAATTGATGCATCTAAAAACCTTCATACAGGTAGTATGAAAGTCTCTTGCTTTCTCCTTTGCTGAGAATAAATGGATACTTCTGAATTATTGGATAGGTGTTATTCCCGAATCCCACGTCGGTACAGGTGTGTAGGATTTGAGTTTTGTGTATCCGTACCCTACTCTAATAAGATTATCTCTATCTTAGGATAAAGTACACTTCTACACGAAAGTCGCAACATCTCTGAACACTGTGTTCTATTGTATCCAAAATGGCAATGACTGCTGTATTAATTATAGTGAACTGGCAAAAATAACTTCAGTTTAAAGTTGGAGCATTCAAGAATGTTTAAGATGATAAGCGTATTTAAAATACACATGTTATTTCCTGCGTAGCATTTTCTGTTCAATCACTTGCAAAAGTCAGATTTCAATTGTGTTTTACAATACTAGCCTCGGTATTTAGGAGTCACTGCATGAGAACCACGCCTACCCATGCTCAATGACGATATCAGATAATTTCCTACCCGTCCTTATCTTGTAGAGTATACGCGAAAAACTATAAATCCCAAGTTTTAACCTTATAGTCTTCAAAGATACAGTCAGGTTTTTCGAGAGTGCTTAGTGTAAAACTTTGCGCCGGAAAATGGAAAGAAAAAGTAAAATGCCGTTACTCCGTCAATAAGAAGGATGATAGTGAGATTTTTAAAAAGAATTATGGACTACTGGATTTCCAAGCCAAAAGATCTTAGCTTAGAAACAGCATTTTTTACATGTCGATTTTTCGACTTAAGTAAAATTGAAGAACACTGAATCATGCATCGTTTTGTTCAGAATTTTATGCTCTTTTCGGCTATGTACTTTACAAAAATTTTCAAAAAGCTGAAGAGCTTTCCAGAAAACCTATGTCGGTTTTCCAGAGACCGTTTCGAAGGTCCAACTTTTGGAAACGGATCTAGATAGCCCATGGTTGAGCGTATAACGCAAAATTGTTGTCGATTCGTTGTAGGCAGAAGCCGTCGAGAATGGAACCCAACAAGTTGATGTTGTTATGGCATTCTGTCGTTTTTCTCGTGCAATGACTCTTATAGGGGCATATGAGATAAAAATTCTTTGTCATTTATCATTTCGAAAAAAGAATGAATTTTCACAAAAGAACGGAGTCCAAAATCCGATAGAAATCGGTCCCTCTTCAAAATATTTTAATTTCGATGTAGGTCGATAGAGGATGATATTTTATGTAGTTTTCTGTATTTTTTGTAGCTTTAAAATGCATTTTGTTGGAAAAACAAATTAAAAACAAATTATTATAAATTAGTAATATTTTTAACGCTGGATTGTCATTAATAATTTATTTTCGATAGAAAATGTGAATGGAACTTTTTTTCAAATATACCACTCGATAGAGCTCAACGAGCTGATTGTAATATATGCGAAGGAATGCTGGAAAGTAAAACTAATCGTTATTTTTCATCAAAGAAACACTTCGGATCTAACATTTTAGAACTATCTATCACGGTATTTCGCTTTTTTCTCTACCATTCAAGATTTAATGACTAACCATTCCTAGTGTAATGAATAGCCCACAAAGAGAGCTACAAGAATATAGCTAATTGAGTTAAAAGTTTGGGATCATTGTAAAATCCCCAGCATAAGCTCAACAATACTTTAATGATTGTGATTTTATATTTTTTTTCGAGCGGAGAACCTCATCTGAGTTTTTGATGAAGAAACAAAAGTTTTGCTAAAAAAAATGAATAATAAAATCATGAATCGCATATCATTCGTCTCAGTTTTTAGCGCTCATTACGAAAGGTCACGTTTATTTTGCTTTGAAAATGATTCTTGATAGTAAAAAATTGCATTTATTTCTATTATACTGATTTTGAGTTATGTTGAGCTTATGCTGGGGATTTTACAATGATCCCAAACTTTTAACTCAATTAGCTATATTCTTGTAGCTCTCTTTGTGGGCTATTC